GTTAGGCTCAAATAAATAAAAAATATAAAAATATCTAGTTCTTATCTACAAACCTTATTGTCTATCCCAGTTTCGGGTCGATTATGGGTTTTCTTCTGATCACAAAAACCTGCTGCCAAAAAGTCTGATGGACATAGTTTGGATCCACGTCCAAACTTTCATCTAGAATATAATATACAAATATAAATGCAAAATATGTGAATCTAACTGATTTGAATAATATTCATAATAAATGTCAGCTGAAATCAGAAATTAGAATATACTCAAATATACTCAAAGATTAGTAGAAAAAGTACTGGTAATCAATACTTAGTATTTTAGTGTTCTATCTTTCTATGAAACAAAGGCAAACGTTTTGTTCAGTTTATAAATAAACTCTTGGTGCATGGCATCATGCCTTAAGGCAAATTGCTGAAACTTCTCGTGTTATAATTCAAATTGCTTTAAATTTTTTGAAAAATTCGATATTTTATAGTTTTGAAATTTGAATTTTTTTAAAAAATCTGCTTTTTATAATTAGATTCTTTTTGAGAATTTTGAATTTTTTTCAAAGCAATCGCTGCGTAGCCATTTTAGAGACGAAATATCGAAGCGCGTAAGCGTCAAAAATGGTTAAATGTTATAAATATTGTACGGAACCCATAGAAATGTAAACAAAACTTGTACTTACTATTAAAATCTTTATAAATATCAAATAATTTGATGCGCATAAGATCAATGATCATTTTTGGTTTGTTTTTTACTTTTTTCATTGGATTTTCGAAACCGCTCGCCCTGCATTCCCAAAAAAAATCAGTTTTTCATTTCGTCAATAGTGATGTGAATCATTCAAATCGAACGCTCCATTATGTCAGATACTATATAACCATTTTTGACACTTTTTGCCCCGTATCTTCAAAACTGCTGGACTTGCCTTGGCCAAAAACTTATCAGCACGACTCCCCATCAATGGGGGATATAATTTTTGAATTATTCAAATCGGTTAATCCTTGTTTTAGAAATTATCGACGAAATATTGTATCCTCACTCACATGCATACATACACACATACACATACATACATAGCCAGAAGGCTACGTAAAGATGAACAAAAATTTTCGTTTTCAATTTGTTTTTGCGATTAATATAACTTACCCTACGAGAAGTTAATAATACCTTGTGATTGCGTGTAAAACCCAATGCCAAGCTGAACCATTGCCTCGGCCACTTGTTGGCTATCATCATCCATCTGATTTGTAATGTTTTCCTCCTTCACAGCTGCTGAAGGCATACTTAAGTTGCTAGAATTACCAATATTTGAACTATTATTCTCGGCTTGACTTTCACTATCACTAAAAGGCACTTCTTCAAATTCATCATCATCTGTAGAATATTGTAAGTCTAAAAAATTAATGGTAATTATCTAAATATAGTTTTATATGCGGAAATAAATAAACTATAATTCAAAATTACAACATACCCTTCTCCAATTATGTACAGTATTTTTACGTGGCCGTCCTCTACCTCTTTTGGGTCCAATTTTAACTGTAGATGATTAGAATTTAGAAATTATTTTAAAAATATATTATATGCAAAAGTAACATTAGGGAAAAACTATTGATGAGAAAAATTGTATCCAATTCTGATTGTGCATCATACTAAATATTACCATAGACTTTCTAATTTAGAAAGTTAATTGAACTTTGGAGAATAATATTTATATTGATGGAATAATATAGAAAAATAACTGGCAAAATACGCTTTTTAATCCAATTTCATATCAAATTGTATAGAACATGATTCAAGATTTATATTATATTTCAATTTACTTTAAAAATATGTTATACACCAGTTTAACTAATAATGCTAGATATGTATATATATATATATATATATATTATATATATAGTTATATATTATATTATAGCTATATATTATATTATATTATATTTAGTGCAGTAAACGGAGAGGAAAAAAGGGTATAACCTCTAAATTTTTTTACTGTGCTCCGAATTGAATGAAATTTTGGAATTAGGATCATCTTACCCTCAAGTTCAAAAGTGAAAACAATTCGGGTTGCGCCATCACCCCCCGAGGGGCTGACACCCCTTCTAAATTGTGTAATTACATTTTTTCAAAACAACGTCGGAAATCGATAGAAGAACTAATTATAAGAAAAAAATGTCTTATATAGTTTTTCAGAAAAACTAATACTTTTCAAGTTACTGGCCACTGAAGATTCATATATTTTTGGCGTTTTCTTCTTTCGTTTTTTTGCAAATATCTGCTAAAATATACGTTTAAACGAAAATCATGTAATGAACAAAATAATATCAATAAAAATTTTAATAAATCGGTATTACATAAAGTGTTCTAGGAAAAATATTAAGCAAGATTTGAAAGAGCAAAGTCGTTTTTTATTTCGTTCAAGATTTAATTGTTGTATTTAAAGCCTAGTGTCGAGGTTACATTTTATGCATTTCGGTGAAATTGGGTTTTATAGTACTCAACATTAGCTTTAAAATGAGTGCTGTTACAAGTTTTTTGCGTGTAAATGAATGAGCTATCATGCAAATAAGAAGCATATAACGAAGTTTTTCTTTAAATCATATGGTTTAATGAGCGCCATTTCCAACATTTAAGTTATTCATATTCCATCTAGAATGACTTCATTATAGACATCTTGATGGATTCTAGCAGATTCACTACTTTAGTACAAACTATTTTCAAAAAACTCACAATTTTAAAAAACTTTTTTTTCCAATTTTTTTAAAAATCGAACTTATTTTCATTATATCTCAAAAAGAATAAAAGATACGTATAAAAGCATATAGATAAAAATCAAGGGAATCTTTCTGGCTTATTATTGTTTCTTATTATTTTTCTTTCACACAAAAATTGACAGAGTTATGAATGTTTAAAGACTGTGCGCGGCCCGCGCAAATTGGAAAATAAAGTTTTTATAAAATCGTGAGTTTTCTGAAATAGTTTGTACTAAGTAGTGAATCTGCTAGAATCCATCAAGATGTCTATATGAAGTCAATTCTAGATGGAATGTGAATTACTTTAATTCTGGAAAATGGCGCTCATTAAACCATATGACTTAAAAGAAAAAAACTTCGTATATGCTTCTTATTTGCATGATAACTCATTCATTTTACACGCAAAAAACTGTAACAGCACTCATTTTAAAGCTAATGTTGAGTGCTATAAAACCCAATTTCACCGAAATGCATAAAATGAAAACCTCGATACTAGATGGCTTTAAATACAACAATTAAATCTTGAACGAAATGAAAAACGACTTGCTCTTTCAATCTTGCTTATATTTTTCCTAGAACACTTTATGTAATACCGATTTATTAAGATTTTTATTGACATTATTTTGTTCATTACATGATTTCGTTAATTTATATTTTAGCAGATATTTGCAAAAAAACGAAGAAAAACGCCAAAAATATATGAATCTTCATGGCCAGTAACTTGAAAAGTATTAGTTTTTTTGAAAAACTATATAAGACATTTTTTTCTTATAATTAGTTCTTCTATCGACTTCCGACGTTATTTTGAAAAAATGTAATTACACAATTTAGAAGGGGTGTCACCACCCCGGGAGATGATGGCGCAACCCGAATTGTTTTCACTTTTAAACTTGAAGGTAAGATGATCCTAATTCCAAAATTTCATTCAATTTGGAGCACAGTAAAAAAATTCAGACCTAAAACGCTCCGTTTACTGCACTAATTATATCTATCGATCTACAGGTGTGCTAGACCTTAACGTCAAGCCTAAATAAAGTGATATTGATATATATGATAATATTTATTATATATATATATATATATATATATATATATAAACATTCAGAATAAATATATAGTTGATTTATCGGTTTTGATACTTTAGCTAAAATACAATTAAAGCTAAAATTATAAAAAGATTGAATAAAATATAGTAACAACAAATATAAATAAATGATTAAAATGGGTATATTTTAGGTAAATAACTACAATTATAAAAATGAAATATATGATATTGATGTTGTAATGTCCCAGCCAAGATAAATAAAAACAAACTATTCATATATTATATATAACATAGTGATAGAATGCCTTGCAATAAACAAATAATCAAGCCAAAAAGGTAAAAACATAATTTAGTTTCACTTTCACAACTCAAAATACTGCTCCTTTCAAGCATTCATGCAAAATATAAATAACATGCTGTCTTCAAATGCAGTTATCAGCATTATTATTTAATAAACGTAAAGAGTTTCTCTCTAAAATTACAATAATAAGAAAATTGAAATTCTGAGACTGCCAGGAAAGCATATCTATTCATATCATCAGCAGTCGAAGAATTAAATGTTGCATAAATATTTATGTCTTTTCAAATATATTTCTACATTATGATTCATTTATTTAAAATTAATGATCATATTAAGAAAAAAAAAAACACTATAATAATATGATAAAAAAAAATAGGAATATTTATAACAATTTTGAAGTAAAAACATACATATTTTTTATATTAAAACGTTTTTTTTTTTAAGAAAATAATTATTTCTTCAAAATTCAACAATAGTAAATTTCAAAACAACAAACATGTTATTATTGTTAGTTTATTAAACATGCAGCAAATGATACTAGTATTACTAATCATGCAAAAACTAACCTTCTTCTGAATTCTCCCTGATTTTACGGGGCCTGCCACGTCCTCTTTTGATGTCACTGAAATTCGACCTATTGCCCGAATGTGCTGTTCCTTCGCCTTCAATATCAACAAAGTCAAAATCGTCGTTTCCAATACTATGAGTAGAATTGTCATCCTAAAATAAAAAAAATTAATCAACACCATCAGCTGCAGTTCCTACAACTAAACTTCATCTATAATAAATTTTTAATCTAGCTTTTGAGCAATCAAAATAAATACTACTTTGAACTAAGCGGAAACTACCCCCCTTTTTGCGCAGTGTACCATAACGAAAAAAACAAAATTAGATTACTTTATTTCTGATTATTTACTCAATTTATATACACTGAAATATCCTTACCGTCTGTAGTCGCTTGAACTCAGGTTCAGCAATGGTAAAGTTATCCTCATCCCCCCAAACGCCATCCAACTCAGCCTGTTCTTTTGCCCTCTGTTGAACTATTAATATATTAGCTTCTAATTGTGAAACATCCAACTGAAAAATTAATTTGATTCAATTAATTAAACGGCATACAATAAATTAAATTTATGCATTACCTCATCAAGCGCAGACTTTGTGAATTCTACTAATGCTTTAGCTTGTTTTGTGAAACTAGAATCTGGACCGTTATACTGTTCACAGTTCGATTCTATAAGCTTTATATCAGCTAAAAATTCTTCCCGATTATGATATTTGTGAGCTGAAAAAATAAAGTAATAATTGCAAAAATAATAGCAAATCATATAAATAACGTTGATGGTAGGCTCTACACTATTTCATAAAGCATGCACGAACTTCGCTATTTTTTTTTTTTTTGTATTTTTCATTTTCATTTTGTAAAGTGTCAGCAAGAGATTCACATTGAAATTTAATTTAAAAACCCAGAATGTTATGGATGCCTAATTATGACTATTTACATCACAAATTAGCATTCACATATTAAGAAAATGCATGTTTGTAACTGACTTGTTTAAATAATTTAATTGGCAAACTTTAGAATTGAATAATAGCAAAACAATTATAAGTATAAATCAAACAAAGGAAAACATTTAAATTAACCTAATAAATTTATGTAAATGATAAGTATTATCTACTCAAATTACACAGTATAATCTACTGAAAAAAAATGCTAAATCTTTCATAAATATTATATCAAAGTTACCTTGAACTTTTTTCAGTACTGTCTCCAGATCCATCGGCCGTTGAATAATAGTATAGTAATCTTTAACTTGTTTCTTATTGACCGGTTTTAAGAATGGCCATGATTCCGGCATGACTTTTAGTTTCAAATTTACAAAATTTTCAAGGATGAATGTCAAAGCAACCTACATAAAAAAGCAAAATAATTATAATGAAATTCAATCATATATAAAACAAATATTTAATCATATCTGTATACCTGATCATTATCATCAAGTAGTGGATTTATAGCTTTCTCTAATCGCATCAGTCGTTCCTCTTTCTCCCCAAGACGTTCTACACATCTAGCAAGAAGTCTTTGAGCAGCAACAGTTAAAGATGTTTTCGAACCTTGAAGCAATAAAAAAAAAACATACATACACACACATATACATATATATATATATATATATATATATATATATATATATATATATATATATTATAGGATTTTGTGATATGAGTGAAACAAATATTAAATGTTAAATATGAACAATACAACACTTAGATTTTTAACACACACTTTAATTGGTAATTACAGATGTTTTGAGACCATGATATGCGTCATCTTCAGTGTAATTTCAAAACAGTTACTTATGTACTAATACATTCTTTATTTAACTTACATTTAATTTTTGAAAATACCAAAAACACCAACCTTGCCACATTACTAAAACATGTGAATAATTACAGAAATATTTCAAACAAATCTTAAGTATCGAGATGAAGAGACAGGATGGGTATTATTATAATGTAAATAAATGGATATTAAATTAATACCCATCCTGTCTCTTCGTCTCGATACTTAAGATTTGTTTAAAATATTTCTGTATCTATTCACATGTTTTAGTACTGTGTCAAGCTCTGTCAGTAATAGTTGGTATTTTTTGTATTTTCAAAAATTAAATATAATTTAAATAAAATATTAAAGAATGTGTTAGTACATATGTAACTATTTTGAAATTATACTGAAGATGATACCATGATTTCGAAACGTTTGTAATTACCAAATAAAGGGTATGTTAAAAATCTGAGTGTAGTATTGTTCATATTTAACATTTTATATTATATATATATATATATATATATATATATATATTAACTACAGAAATAGATTAAATCAGAAAAACTACAAAATCTCTGGTCTAATTGAATGAATTGTCTAATTGTCTGAATGATAATTAAAATCTTATCATTTTTTTCCTGACGCATTTTACCTTAAATGATCTATTAAGTTTTTTTTATTATTAAGAAAATAGCAGCAATTTATAAAAAATATTTTCAGATATTCGATTGCAAATATGTTTGAAATTTACCCAAGAGCAATAGGGAGTAAATATGTTTGCAAATTACTGCTGAATTATACAAAAAAAACCTACATTAAAGTGTAACTCAATATTCACTTAAGGTTAAAAGGGAGGCTAGAAAACAACAATATATATATATATATATATATATATATATATATGTGTGTGTGTGTGTGTGTGTGTCTGTGTGTGTATATATATATATGTTATTTTATTTTGCTAGATAGGATTGTATACACTTTGCATATTTACGGAATATATCACCCTCATACAGCCTGTATGAATGCATACAATAATGATTAGAACAGGAACTTGCCATTGTGGCTGAGAGCAGACATACGACCGAAGAGGGTTAAACATGATTCTAGTTGTGTGTCATTATTAATAACTAACCATTATACAGGGCTGAATTTTCTACAATCTGATTTACATCCGCCAAAAATTCTTCTCTGCTATGATATTTTTTCTGTCGTAAATTTTCTCGAATCGTCTGCAAATCCATTGGTTGTTGCACAATTCGATAGTAATCTGGAACAAGCTGGACAAAAAATGTACACCTATTAATTGCACTATTATTTTTATTATGTATGTAGCATTCGCAATTTTATAGTTGACAAAAAATATTTGTGTTCACTAGCTCTATGCTTCTTGTGACAATAGGAATTATAGAAACAGTATTTTGATATTCAATTCAAAACTAAACATTAAGTAACAAATTATATTTTACTAATACCTTGCCATTAACAGGAAATAAAAAGGGTTGCACATCAGGCAGATCCCTCATTTCATTTAGAATTGATTCTAAAATCGTAGACAGTACAATCACTGGATCAGTACGTCTTCTATTTGCAGGTCTTTGATGTCTCTTCAAATAATCGCAATGTACATCAGTTCCTGGCCGTTTGCGTTTCCGACCCATAGCTTCTTTAGGTACTTTTAATAAAAGGGATCGACGTTTAATTTCTTCACATTGCTGAAATAATATTGATATAGTTAAAAAGAATACAAAATTAAATATACAACTATCAATTTTAAGCTAAAAAGTAGTAGTTAAATACAGGTAAAACTTAATCATAGAATATTGAAATTTTCAACTTCTGGTCTAAAGAGTTAAAATAAAATATAAGGTTACTTTGCATCTGACAAACAGTGTTTAAGTGATATTTTAACTACATATAGAAAATAGTAAAAATAAAAACACAAAACAATACAAACTAATAAATTTATGTTATATAACAATTAGGACTTACAATACCGGGATTCCGTGATCCCAGACGATTTTTGTCCGGTATTCAATACCGGTATTGATACAATAATACCGGGATTACCAAAATTTTGTTAAAAATTTAACTTACGCAATACACATACACAGTTTTCAAACTGTGTATGTGTACTACCGACTCGGCTATGCTGAGTATGACACATCTTGTCTATGTCGGCAAGATAAAGCGATTGTTTATATATTATATAAGACCTAATGAATGGAACCCATTTATAAAAATTATTAGTCGTCCAGGTACATTGTCCTCATGTCTAATTCATTATAACGTTATTTCATTATAACGAAAACTTACAAGTCAAATCATCGAGTGATAAATAGTTTAATAATCAATGACAATATTGGACTCGGTGGTGGTTTACCACTTTCTTATGCTTACATTGCAGATTCTTTAAAATCGTTCATAAAATTATTTTATTTATTTATTAGACAATCAGTAAATACAATAATTTTTACAAGTCTTTGTGATGTGTTGATATCTAATTATGATTTGATTATATACTAAGATTATATACTTTGACTATACTAAGTACTAATTCATTTCGACTAATAATGTACTCGTACTTCTTTATGACAATTATGCCAACAAGTGTAGAATGTGAAAAGGCTTTTTCGGCGTGTTATATTTGTACTAAAATTCGGTCTTCGCTTGAAGATAAAACAATTGATTGTTTATATTTTTTAAATTCTCTATGTAATAAAATATTTAATATGCACTCATTTTAGAACAATAATAAAGTTAATATGTCAATGTAACATCTGCAGTAACTAAAAATATGACTAGTAATTTTTTCATTTATAATACCGGGATCTCGATATTACAGATTTCAAATACCGGTATTCAGATTTTAGTACAGTATTGGAATCCCTAAAAACAATGAATGGACGAAAAAAGCTAATGTATACCTTCAACAATTTCCCTGATAATTTAACTTTGGTTCCTTCGACGTTAACTAAATCCTCATCGTCCGCAGTAAATTCCTTCTGGATCTCCTCTTCTTGTTCTTCAGTCATTGCCACATTGAATTGAGAATTCAACATTGTGCCAGTGTACAGTGGACAGGCCTTATTAGTCCTTAATAATGAAAAACCATTGTAATATTATAAATAAAATTATTTTATGTGGATAATAAATCTAGCTAATCTAAATTTAAAAACTATAATTTAGAGTTGTTTTGTAAATGTCGAAAAAGTTTATAAAGTTGTAGATAAATAATAATTAGATGCAGGATATTTACTCACCTCATATGTCCGACATTTCCACAAGCTCCACATTTCAATTTGAGATCAGGTTTTAACTTTGTCTTCCTACGTCGTGGAGAATCATCGTTCATTTTCTTTAATCGTGTTGGACTAGGTGTAGTATTTGAATACACTGGTGGCGTTGTCACTTTTATTGAAATGAACAAAAATAAGAATTATCGAAATTCAATCTAATAAATTAATCTAATGAGAAGAAATCAATCCAGGCGACAGATTGCAGTTTAAGATACAAAGGGTCTGGGCGTGTTTCCATACTGAGTTGACCCCACCCTGGTATTTAAATGATTTTGATGCCATTTTATAGGTATTTTCGAAATTTCGAAAATTCGAAATACCAAATTTCAAATCCGTAGCTCATCATTTGGCCGAGATATCAGTGAAAACATGTGAAATGGCCCCGGTATTTTCTAAGAGCTATAATAGTATGTGCATATGTATATGTATTTAATCATGGAAAAAATGTCTGCCAGATATTTATTGCCTCTAGCAGAATACTAGATATAGTGAAAAATATAAAAGAGTGTATATAATATGTACCACATTTCAGCACTAATAGAATAATAAAAAAATAGTGGCAAATGACATCGCGCTTTAAGGCAAATTGCTGAAACTTTCCATACCGTGATGAAGCATTCAAAGAATATTAAATGTTTTTAAATATATTATTATAAGCACTGAAACTGAAACTTTCATTATTCATATTTTATAGATAAAATATAAGAGCTTATAAATTTGATGATGACGTTTTCATGAAAAGTAAATGAACAGAATTTAATGGAGGGGAATTTAAATTAAGGATCTTATGTCATATTTCTAAGAATTATATAAACTGAATTGCAAAGTTAAGATTATTTATTTGAAGTATATAGGTAAGATTTATAATTTTAGTTAGAATTAAAATTAAAATCCGTATTATTTTCGATATCAAGAAAAAAAAAATTAAATATTTTTTTTACTTTTCCCAAAAAAATAGCTGCGTCAATACAAGCAAAAGGTTTTTTTGAATCATTCAAATCGGATGCTCTGCGCTCTTAAAACCTCGATTTCTATTTTCTGCACTTTGCTCCATATCTCCGAAACGTCTGGACCTGTCTTCGCCAAAAACTAATCAGTACGCCGCTCATCAGTAGGAATCGAATATTTTTGTGCGCCCGAAATCGTGAACAAAAAATTGTATCAACACAAAACACAAACACATCCAATATTAACATAATAATACACATTATATTTGAAAAAATTTAATATTCTTCGAATATTTCATTGCGGTACGGGAAGTTCGAGCAGTTTGCCTTAAGGCACGCAAATGCCATACACCACTAGTTAATTTATATAATTAAACCACTTTCGTAGCCCTTTAATATTTTAGAATGTTCGTTAAGGCCGTAAACGCTATATCATGACAAAAAAAATCATCAAAATGGTCAAGATTTTTTTTCAACAATTCATAAATTTTGCGATCTGACGTATTTTTGCTTGCCATAAATAGTTTGAGAAAAAAAAAAATGTTTAAAAAAATTATGTTGTTTGACTTTATATTATGAATTCTACAATATTATTATGTCAATTAAAAACAAAAAAACTGCCTATTTTTTGACTTCCGGCCACAAAAAATCCTAGCATTAAGTGATTAATAAACTGCCAAGCAAGAAGACCATTGTCTAAGCCTTAAGATAATTAATCAAAATATTGAAAATCTTCAATTGTACAAAGTTTCAGCTTTTATGGTATTTCATTACAGTGAAACTTGTTAAAAGCTATACAACGTTGATAAAAATTAGAACAAATAAAAGTTAAACTTACTCGATGTAGTACTGCTTCTTTCCGATGATGATGGTGTAGAAGGATTATTGTCTGGTGGCAATCTCCCTAATAACCTTTCTCTTTCTTGATTACGTTTTATCCTACGCAATTGTTCCTGTAATATTATCATTTTATTATATTTCTTTATTACGTTTACACATAGCAAAAATTAAGCTTTAATATTGAGATATCCGTTTTACTTATTTATTGTAGATACGCAACGAGATTAATATTTGTTCAGTAACTTGAATGAATTCGTTGACAAATTGATTATTCACAATAAAACAATCTTATGTTAAAATTCAAAATAGTTTCTGTTTGTTACAAACATTTTATATATGTACTTGATGAAAAAGCCTTTATTTTTATTCCTGAAGTTTTCCCTAAAGATAGTTGTGTAATTTATTGTTTAATAAAAAAAACTTGAATGAAAATGTTGATGATTCCATACAAATATGAAAATAAATTTACATTTTCCTGAAGAAATTTTCTAACCACTGATATGCTCTGGTTCCATTGTGATTTTTTTTCACACTACAGACGAACTTCTACATTTGTATGCTTTCAAATTATAAAACAATAATTCTTAAATTATTGTTTTAAATTATTATAATTCAATAAAGCTATAAATAATATAGATACAATTAAAAAAAATGTAGTACAATATTGATAAAAATTCGTACCTGTATTCGACGTTTTTCCCGTTTCATTTCTTCCTTTTGTGCATCGTCAAGAGTGGCAAATTGCCGAATAAATGCTTCATCCTTGGTGCTTCTAATTTTTGCATATGCATCTATAACAGGAATTCTACGTACAATTTCCACCCTTGTATATTCCTTGCCTTCAGGTTCTCGAAATGTTCGAGAAATTCTTAAAACGCGACCTGTTAATAGATAATAACACTTCATTGCAAAGGGAATTCTAAAGGTCTTTTTAAATAAATAAATGTACATTTTTTTTGTAAATAATATAGTATAATCATAGAATTATTATGAACAAATTTTTATACAAAAAACTAAATTCTTTGATTGATGATATTGTTCACTTCTATTTTCCACAAAATGCAGTTTTTGTGATATAGAAAATGTAAAAAAATTTCAGACAAATAAAATATGTGAAGGTAATCAGTGTGTAAAAAAAACTTTCAGCATGCAAGTTTTTCATTAAAATTTAGTAGTATATCATAGACAAATGTATATTCTTTTACCTGGCGGGCATGTGTTGCTAGGAACTGATTCATCTTCATCTTTTTTCTTTTTTCGATCAGCTTCTGATAAACCGCCTTCTCCCATTATCATCTTTCTCAATTCTTGACGTTCTTGCTCTTCCCTTTCCAAAGATAACTACATACAAGAATTAAAAACTAAAATTATAATCAACAAACTTCTCAAATTACTGTACATTAATTGATACCAAGTTAAAAAAAAACAAATCAATTTATTATTGATTTCATTTGGAACCTTGACTTCTTCATTTGATATATGACCAAAATTAACTAATCAACAAAACAAGCATTACAAACTTCTACTATCTATTTAATATTATTTTAAAAGCAGAAACAATGTTGAAAAAAAAAGTAAACTTTACGATAAATAAGCATAGTGCTGGTGTTTTTCATAAGATATAACTCAAGTAATAAATAAGCATTATTTTTAATTAATTCATATTATTCTTTTTAACAAATTTTCTATATTTTCCTGGAATTCTTACCTGAATCGATGTTTTCTTATTGGCTAACATATTTTCAATGTTTTTACCCATTTCTTCAAGATCACTTTCTTCCGAGACTGAACTCTCCCCTTCATCAGTACTAAGAACTTCTGCACTTGACAAAACGCGATTTTGGAGATCAAATATTCTTTGACATTCTTCTTTATATCTTTAAAATTAAAATAGACTAATAATATAATAGACAGAAAATTTTAGTGAGTGAAGAAAAGAGTACTTGCAAATTTTTGCAATACTTGATGTCAATAATAAAGTAAGTATTATTATTCATAAATACAGATACCTTTCCTGGTGTTCTGCAATTGAAAATCGATTTCCCCTAGAAAATTTCGTCATGCCTTCTTCACCGGCTTTTGCTTTTTCTGTTGATAATGTACGAACAACATCAATAACCTCCCAACGAGATAATTTCTTAATCTGGAATTAAAATTATTAATGAGTTAAATAATATTACTATTCACTCACAATATTATAATATTTTTACACTTTAAATTAACAATTTAAAGTAACAATTGTAACTATTGATTTAAACAATTAATTTGTAACATTTGTATCTGGAGCAGAAATGGTTAATTTCTTCCACAGTTAGAATATTAAGGTCTTGATGTATTAGCGAGTTTAGTACATATTTTGGGGCATTCACAATCTGTTTCAAAATTTTGTTTCTGTAGAACTGCTATGTTTGATTAACTAGCCGCACCCCATACTTGTAAACCGTAGAACCATATTGGTTTAGTAATTGTCTTGTATATTAGAAGTTTAATTTCTAACGAAACTTGTGATTTCCTGCAAAGCTGCTGGCGCTTTGCCAGCAGCTTTGTTAGTCTCATATCCAAATGTATTCCCAGATATTTAACCGCATTGGATACAAGAACCAAGTAGGGTAAAAGTAACGTGAAATCATTTAAAAATGTTTCCTTTTATTCTCCATAATTTCATCCACTTTTCTAATTCCGTGTTTTTGTAGAATTTCGGTGCAAGCAATTGGTTGCCATATTGAGCTAGAATTCCCGTATCATCCGCAAAGGTTGCAATCATGGTTTCTGCATTTATGGGTATATCAGCAGTATAATTATAATGTAAAGCAGCTGACCAAGAACACTAGCTTGCGGAACTCCGAAAGAAATATTTCTAACAAAATATGACGCATCATTGAAACTGATGAAGAAACTTTTATCACACAAATATGATTTTAGAAGAAGATATAAATTGTATGGTAAAATCTTATTTAATTTTTATAACAGGCCTTCATGTCAAACTTTATTAAAAGCCTGACTGATGTCAAGAAAAAGCTGAGCAATATTTTTTAAAGTGAAAGACTTTATAAATAAAATCAACGACTCTATGAATTTGTTCTATTGTTGATTATCGTTAACTTCCCGTAGGGTAAGTTGTAGTAATCGCACAAAAATCGAAAATGAAAATTTTTATATATCTTTACGTTCCAAAGGTTTCTGAATATTTTGGAATGGATGTATGTGTGTGTGTGTGTGTGTGTATGTGTGTGTATGTGTGTATGTGCGGATACAAATTTTCGTCGACGATTTCGGGAACACCGATCAAGCGATTTGAATAATTCAAAAAACATTCGATTCGTATTGATAAGGAAACATGTTGATTAGTTTTTGGCGAAGACAGGTCTAGCCGTTCCGAAGATGCGGGCAAGAAGTGCCAAAAACGGTAACTCAGTTTTTAAGAGAACGGAGCGTACGATTTTAATAATTCAAAAAACATTTTAGTTGTATTGACAAGATGAAAAACTGATTAAATTTTTGGTAAGGCAGGTCCAGCGGTTATGGACTCTCAATAAAAATAAGTTAAAAAAATGTAATTTGGCGGTCAAAAATATTTATTGGACATATGTACATTAAATTATCAGATATTTTATAGAGATTTAATAATGTGTACACATTTTGTGTAAATTTTTTTGGGTTCCGTACCAAGATTTTTAATTACGGCACGGAAAGTTTCAACTAGTTTTCTTATGAAACCAAATTGATGTTTTGGCACAAAATTATTTTCTTAACTAATGGTCCAGTAGGCAACAGTAGGATTTTTTCCAGGCTTGAGAATGAAGATTATTTTAGCCAATTTCCAATGCTTTAACCTTATTATAGCATTAAAAATATAGTTATAATCCCTTTCCTTTATCAGGAAGGTGTTTTAGAAGTCCAAATGTGATGACATCATTACCAGGGGTTGTTCCTAATTTAGTGTTACTAAACACGTAGAACGCTTCAGAGCTCTTAATTTTTGAAATGGGCTCATCTATGAAATTACCGTCATTCAAATAATCAGTGATGAATTGATCATTTGGTACATTACAAGGATAGAGAGTGAAGACCTTTTCAATATGATTTACAAAGGTAATTACCTTCGGTCTAGATCAGTCTTCTGCTGATCTAGACCAAGAACCATCATTATTTTTAATTGAAATACATGACAAATGATCTGACAGAATAATCACTCAACAATAGCGTTTGTGGGGGTAGAATAGCAAGCCGCATCAGTGACATTTTTGTTGAAAATACCTATTGCATTATCAATAGATACTGTACTCGTCAATCTGTAGTTTTTAGAGGTATTTTCAGAATAAATTGTATTCTTCAATATATTTAGCAAATAATTCCCAATCAGTTTTTTTAATTGTTAATGATGGACCCTTAGAATGCAATTTAAACTTTGAGCTATGTAACAATGACTGAACTACGGACAGAAGATAATTCAAGACTTGTACAGAAGTCTAGACAGTCTAGAATTTTAGAAGTGTCTCCAGGCCAGTAAATAACAAATCATATTTGGTATAAAAAAAAGCAATACAAAATAACAATAATAAATGTGCGGAGATTCAAAGTAACATGAAATACTTTTATGGGAATGTTTTATATTTTTTAATTCATTCCTTAATATATGGGTAAAATGAAAATAACAATGTTGGAAGGATATCGAATCGATCACATACATTGATGTATTTACATATGTGACAGAAAATTGCTTTAATAATATTGATACTATCAATGTAGAGATATATGTTATATAAATAAAACTTATTATATTTTATTTGGGGATATATATTTTCACTACCCCTTAAGTAAATCAATTGCTTTAAATACCTCTTCTTCGGGAACACCAAACTTTCGCAAGAGCGCCTTCGCATTATTGAGTGATAATCTTCTTAAATCTGCATCGGTTCCAGTAACAGTTCGTTTTGGTTGCGATTCTTGCTCTTCTTTAGTTTGCTATACAAAAAAAAAATACCTGGTAAAAATATCAAATAATGTAATGTAGTAAGTTAGATATTTTTTACCGTCGGTTTATTAGGAATCCGAACATAAGAGAATCCTTCTCCACAGCCTGTAGGATCAGCAGGGCCAGTCAACTGCAATAAACATTTTCCCCGTACTGCCTGAATGTAAGCCCGTGTTGTGTTCCACGGGGCAACTTTGACTTCATCATCCATCTTCAACTGCATTTCTTCATCATCATCGTCTTGTTGCGCAAATATGAACTTTTCACCATAACCTGCATCCTAAAAAATTACATAAAATAAATAATTGAATTTCTCATTTCCAAATCAGAATATATTTCTAATTCTCATACCTTAAGTCTTTGCTCTGCAGCAATCATACTGAAGTAGGCGCAGCACTGTTCTGGTGATACCATTGCTCTAATTTCCTCTTCTGATGGTAGACGAAACTCAGGTTTTATAACCCACCAATTACTGTCCATACCCGTTCTTTTGAAATCAGCACATAACTAAAATAATAAATAATAAAATAACATTTACTTGGTCATCTGTTTTAATCATATAAATATTCACTTGCTTTTAATTTAATAGAAAAGTGAAAAGAAATAAAACAAGGTGTCAAAGATATTGCGCATTCAGGAAATTGTAATTTAACAAATAGTTTTTGTATTATGTTTTGTTTGTAATCACTAAAAAACTAAAATATATATTTAAATTCAATCAATACTAATGAAAATCGTAATCTACATCAAATAGTTTTCAAGATAAGACAATTGTGTGTATTTCCTGATAATTAGGAAGAAACTGTTCAATAGCTGCTCACAGAAAAATAAAACTAGTGGTGTATGGCATCGTGCCTTAAGGCAAATTGCTGGAACTTCCCATACCGTAATGAAGTATTTAAAGAATATTAAATGTTTTCAAATAAATTTGTATAAATATTGTAGTATTTGTATAATTATTGTACTTGTATATGTTTACAGAAAAGTAAATAAACCTCAAAAAAATAAATAAAACGCTAAATCAATCGAATTTAACATGAAGGACATCGTCTTATATTTATAAGAATTATATAAACTGAATTGCAAAGTTAAAATTATATTATATTATATTAGTGAGCTTTAGAACTTTAGCTAGAATTGAAATTAAAATTCGAATTATTTTCGATATTCAGAAAAAAAATTTTTTTAGGAAATAAAAAAACATTCTTTTTCCAAACGCAATCGTTTCGTCAACACAAGCAAAAAGGTTTTTGAAAAATTCAAATCTTATTGCTTATTTGCTTACAGATATTTTATAGAGATTATAACAATAAATATAAATTTTGTTAACATTCCTATGGGATCCGTACTAATATTTATCCGTTAGACGGCGACGCGGCGTTTACGCGCTTTGACATTTCGTCTCTATGCAGTTAAAGCAGTACGATTGCTTTGAAAAAAAGTTCAGAATTTCCAAAATATGCAAAATAAAGAAAACATTTTTTTCTATATTTTTTTTTTTCAAAAAAAAAGTATTTTTTTGTCAAATTTATAGTTTTTCAAAAATCTAATTTTTTACGAGTAATTTTTTTTCACAAATGTTTATCATTTAAAAAATAATAATTTTTGGTACGGGAAGTTCCAGCAATTTGCCTAAGGCACAATGCCATGCGCCCCACTAGTTAATTATCAAATAGCGCATAAATTCTTTATAACTTTTCCTTTGGACGTTAATTACCTTCAGTCGCTTTCGAATGCTGCTTTCTGAGTGTGATGGAAAAGCTTTCTTTATATCATCCATTTTGATTCGTCTTGGATTATCTTTACTTTTCCAGAATAGACGATAAATAAACACCTGTGAAAAACAAAACGTACTGTAACACATACTTTCTAACTGACAAAATAAATAAAATGTTATGAAATAGTTAAATCGGCCTAAGTAGTATATAGTTTGTGAATTAAACGTTTTCCTATATATTTGTTCAAAAGAATTAACTAAAATTTATTTCTACTATTTTACCTGCAAGAAGTCTCTCACAAAATTATTTGCTCTTTTTGAGTTTGGTCCCGGCACTTCAAACAATGGACACTCTTGTCCTGCAGCAAATAACGCATCCACTTCTCGAATACTATATGAAGTTCTATCAAAAAATAAAATGTTTTTATTAATATTTTCATTTAAAAAATGTGAAACTGATCAGAATAAATATTTAAAGAGTTGGTTTACCAGAGTGGACCATCAGTGAAAAAATCAAGTAGAATAATATGAAAATAAATGTTAAGTAGTATGTAAACTAACTGGAAATAATATTAAAAAAATTAAAACTAGTTGTAAGTAGAATTTACCTTAAATCAAGTTGTATTAACCGATTTCTGATGTTCAACTATTTATTTCGAAAATAAAATTTTCGCTTTAACTACAAATTAATCCATGAAAATTAATCGATGTTATAATAATCAAACATATTTATAATATCTGTAACTGTTTAAATTAAATTAATTTGGTAAATACATTTCATTTCAATTCTAAAAATGTATGTTATTTAATTAAATTAAATAAAGTCGACTATAATCAGTAGATGAGTTTGTTGTAACAGTTTTTTTGAATTAATGAATAAATTGTTTTAAATTATATTTATATAAAATAAATATGAATAGATGCTATAACTATTATTCTACTAAATCCAATACAGATAATTAAACAACTTATTTCACAATTACTCATTTCATTAATCAATTTCTAGAAAAGTCCGGTGTTGCAACTTACCCGGTATTTGGGGCTAGTTGCAACGTCTACCGCAGCAAGCAGAAACGGCAATGCCTCTGATAATTAAATAAATCTAAATCCGTTGGCAAAGTAATTCTTTTCATAAATCAACGTAAACTATAATTAAACTTTTCTACTTGACATTGCGAATTCTACACGTATTTTGCCGCCGCTACGGCGGAATCCAACAGAAAGAGGTTACACATAAAACCAATCAATGCGACTTCCAACCTACGTCTTTCGTACAGTATTTGAATTTTTAAAACCGATTCAAGAATGACTTAAAACGCCAAAAAACATAATAATAACAAAACGTATTTATTTGCGAAAACAAACTTCTTCTTCGAGAAGTTAATAATAGCTAATTTTTCGACACGGTTTAATTGCGTTCAGGTATATATTTAGGATGGTCCACTCAAGTTACCAAATCCTCTTTTATAAATCATACGTTTTTGATACATTTTATTCAACTTTTTTTTAAATAATTTTGATCGAAATTAACCTACTTCGCTGTTCTGATTAAATTAAACCGAAAGAGAAATTCATAATAAATATAGTATTTAAAAACATTTAATTATATAAATAACTTTGGCAAAACATAAAATGTCTTCTATATTTTTTTTGTCTGTCCTGGAATTAATATGACCTAAGATTTTATTTGAAATAACCTCAGAGTTGAAATGCAGAGGTATTACAATATGAGTTCAATATTCTATACTGATAACTAAATCTAATCTTAAACATAAACAAAAGCTACAATAATTGGTTCAAAAGGTACAGAAATATCTACAAACCCGCACTACCTGTAGCGACCCGCCAGATTTTGAATCATATCGTATCATTATCAGAATGCATTCATTACAAAACTGTTCATTTAACCCTCATGCGCACATAATAATACGTTATAGATGCAGTTACTGTACTTTGACTAATATTTCTACGAACTTCATTATTCCATCGGTGTTTGATAAGACTGGCAATTTGATCGATTCTATGATTCAAAAAATTTGGTTTTAAATCAAATAATTCGATATAAAAAATAATATTGATAACCTTAGCAATATTTAATAGTATAGTATAAAAATCACGAAGGTTATGCAAATTTATCCCTCCCGCCTCCAGAGTGGTAACAAAAAATACACACTAGAACAAACAACCCTCCGATAACGCGGTAGTCTGAGCTGAAATTCCTTTAGCACGGTTTTCGTTCAACATTCCATGAGTTTCTTCCGCGCAACTTTTTAATGACTCTGGTAACCAGTGGTGTTGTCGAGCCGGAGCCTCGTTCCGGCAAAAAAGTTTAAAAACATCGCTACATATAGAATATGATTCGATGAGCGGATTTCGAATATTAGTACAGCGGAGTGGTCAGCAAATATTGAAATTGGGGCTATGGCGAAAATAAAATCCAGTCATTGTGCACCAGATTTAATATAACATCACCGATGCGATCTATCAACGCGTTCAGAGATTATATTGGTACTGGAGGCAGAGTGTGAGCGCGGATTCAATAATATGAATATTATTTTAAATAAACAAAGAAATAGAATATTAATTGAGACAATCTTTTATTTATAAAAACGATTGGCCCACCATAACAGTTATTTAATCCAGATAATTATGTAAAAACTCGATTAAGGTCGCATCGTTCAGCGGACGACAACGAAACGAGGAAAATTCAATTACAAGATCCTGAACATAATCCTATTTGAAATATTTTATGAAAACCATTAGTGTTTTTGTGTTACAATAGTTAAAAATATTTCCGCAATATTGTTTGATATACTATTTGTATAATTTAACTATTTTTTATTAAACGTTCCTATTATTTTAATAAACATATTTGCAATGATTTTTGTTTCTTTCCTTTCCGAACCGGAACTAATACGAGAACCGGTTTTTTAATCTTACCGGTTTTTTAATTTAAAAAAATGTTAGCTCAACACCACTGCTGTTAACTAAATATTGTTTTCTAGTAACTAATTATTGTTGTATTTAAATATACATACACAATATATAATATATTATATCATAGCTGTGTACAACAAAAAAAATTCTGCTTGAAATTGTTTTTGTTGAAAAGCACCTTCATATAAAGTGTTCAATACAATAAAAAATAATTTATATTTTTATTTAAACACTTCAGTTCAATAAGAAAAATTTATAAAATATCATGACTTCTATTTATTGATAGCATTATATCCATATAATGCGCTGTTTTGCACTATTTCTAAGTTCCATATTGCATAATTCCCATACAACGCGCTAAATGGTTTCCATAGATCGAACTAGGAATTATCCTGGATAGTACGTTAAATTCGAGTTTTATATAGGACGGTTTCAATATTACACGATATGCACTTACGGCGTTAACGGAGGGCTGACTTTATATTACTTATTGGTGAGACTATTAACAAATTACTTTTTAAAACAAGTATAAAATACTCAATAAATGCATTACACAAATTGGTTTGATAGGCGTAACTAATTTATAGCAAACGTCTGGTAGTTCCCAACCTACTGGAAGCAAAATACATAATATAAGTACATTTTCAAAATATATAACTAATTATAATATGAATCAAATTTAATACTTTGCACAATTTCCATAACAAATAACTTATATATATATATATATATAAATGTATGTACGATAAATATATTCATATATTCAAAGAAAAAATGAAAAAGAAAAAACACCTACCTTGTCCTGATTATCAAAAAGTCAGTTTTTGGTATAGCATGTTCGTAAATAGGAGCACGATACATATTATTTTCGATGACTTGCATGGACTTCCCAGGTGGCAATATACCAAGAAACGGTGATGTATGGGCGTATGCAATTTCTCCATAACGAAACTCTTCAGGGCCGTTATCTTTGCTGGCCTTACGTTTGTAATAATTTTTCACTTTTGAGCACATGCCAACCTGTTAATGAAAAATCTGTCGTTCAATACTGAAATAACATTAATAAGATACGGATTTGTAAGACCAGATGTAATTTGACACGGGTTTCAGTCAATATTGATATCTGTGCTCAATCTATCTATCTAGTAATATCATGTAAAATCCCAGTCAATAAGCAGTCAATATGCAGTCAATACTTATATTAATTTTATGATAACACTGCATGACAAAAATAGCACTTTTATTTTTACCGAAACTTTTTTTAAATCTACTTATAATTAAAATTGTACGCTGATCAACGCTGATTTCAAACATACCTTCAGTAACAGCTCCTGTTTTTGGTTTTAGAAACTACCCTCATTAGCCATTTCTACGTAGTGCATTAACAGATTAGTCTAATCATATTACACTTCAATTAAAGAGGCCAATTGTATGAAATTATGTAAGAAATCAAGTATAAGCTTCTACAAGAATGATGAAATATTTAGAATTCTAGTTGAATTTATGTTAAAGTTTATATGAATAATGAAACAAACGTTCAGACAGAAGGATAAACACAGACTAATTGATTATGTATTTAAAATAATCACAAATCAAACTAATCATTATAATAAGCATAGATAATATATATATATATATATATATATATATATATATATATATATATATATATAGAGAGAGAGAGAGAGAGAGAGAGAGAGATTGACACAAAACGAAGAGAATATATACATAAACATAGAGTAGAACATAGGGTGTTAAGAATCAATCTTCAACAATTCTTCTAGCTGATCAAAATTGGATTACCACTTTACACGGATCTGAATATACTTGTAAGAAAATAAATTGCTTAAGCCGGCCACAGACGTAACTGTATACATGTGCAACTAAATGAATGCGCAACCAAGCGTATTTTCACAGTGCCCACAGACGGCTCAAGTTTATGTTCAAGTACTTGCGCAAGCATATCACAAATGTCAACTAAAGCCGGCCACAGACGTAACTGTATGCATGTGCAAGTAGTGCAAAAAACACCTCACACACGCTAGAGAATACATGCGCAAGTATACAGTATCGTCTGTGGCCGGCTTTAAGAATGTCAAATTTTGCACGGGATGATTGTTGGCTAATAAGAGTTAGGAATGACAGACGATGTAATGAACTAACACTATAATGCATTGACAGATTTATTAAATTTTACTAAATATTTATATTAATAAGTTAAAAAAGTGTAGAAATTATTCCAGTAGTTTAGGTGTGATGTATATTTAAATCGGCAGTGTGCTTGTTGATTTATATTTCGATTTGATTACATATTTATTATAATACTAACTGACCCGATAGACTTCGTCCTGTCAAAAAATCTACCAAATCGGTTCTGATTGCTCTGTTGATCTTTTAAGGTTCTGTCTAAAGCATCAAAATATTTTTTATGTGCCATCGTGCATTCATCCCAAACGATCAATTGATATTGCTGCAAAACCTTAGCCATTGCAGAGTTCTTCGAAATGTTGCAAGTTGGAGTTTCATTGCTTTGCATTTAATAGCAATTTTAGTGCTGAATAGGCTGTTCGAACACCTTCGAGCAAAGTTGCTGCGATTTCGATTTCCGATAAAGCGAGTGCAAGTGCAATTTTGTTTTGTGAGCGAATTGTTGCTAATATTAATAAAATCAAAAAAGTTTTTCCTGTACCACCAGGCGCATATAAGAAGTAAATCCCCCCAGTTCCATCATTTGTTACTTTCATAAGAATATCAAATGCATACCTCTGTTATTCATTCAACAGTGGAAGATTTTTTTCGGTTAATTCTTTCAAATTGTTGAGATCATACAGTTTTGTGCAATTCTTGGTTAAAAGCATCATGCATTGGACGATTGGGCGCGGCCAGGCCGAAGTGAATTAATACTTTGTTTGACATCATCAAGCACATGTGTTCAATTGAAATCAATGCTTCGTTCCCATTCTATTCTGTATTTCACACAATATATCATCACACATATAATCTTTGTACTTGATCCACAAATCAATTGGGTTTGATGGAAAGCATGTGGATATGATTATAGAAAACAATGTTCGTATTTGATGAGTGTGAAGATATTACAGCATCGCTGAGAGTTTGATCCCAATGAGCGTCATTTTCTAGCAATTGTAAACGTTGTCGGGCTTCTCTGTAGGATCCACACAATTCACCATCAATAGTTTGTAAATGTTGAAATGATGTTGGGCCACGTACATTGACTTATAGCAGTCGTAAATAAAAACATTCACCATGATGTACTGAATAAATTCGATCAATCGCATCGGTGGAATATACATCTGTGTATCCTGGTACTGTTTTTTTTTTGTTTCCGTCGCATAAATCTTCTTGATTCCAAGTATAATATTTTGGCATTTCATAATATAGCAGTGTTTGTGCAAATTATCGTTTTGACATGTCTCAAAACAACTTGTTAATGTAGTAGATGGTGGCTGAGCAGCTCTTCGATCTGCGTTCACTGCTGTGAAGTACACCCATTGCCCATTTTCTAAATGCACAGCTAAGTGAATAACAGAAGGGTGTCTCTCATGAATTGGAAAAGAAAATATTCGCCAAATTGCTTCATTACAACTAACATAGCGGCCCATTTGGTATTGAGTAACTTTTATGTTCATATTAAATTTCATTTAACATTTTGCGCCATTAATTTGAATGCCAAAAGCAGCGCCCACACGTCTGAGTGTAGGACCCTTTAATTTTCCCTTCTAAACGTAAAAATCGGGAGAGAGAAACGTTTATATGAATACATCATATTCTAATATTGTCTAGGGCTTCGCCTCTAAAACTTCAAGTGCATAATCCAGACAGTTTTTGTTACATCTGTGGTGAATATGTTTTCAACAAATACCAAAGACCTATATCGAACTGCGTAAAGACAGTCTTTTACTACTAATTAACAGTCTTTTACACAAAGGCGGGTCGAATGACCCGTTTTGAACTTTGAATTGGAAAAACATCTATAATTTTATTGTATTATGACAGGCTGAACTTCTCAAACTAATTAATTTATTAATAAAATAGTTTTTTTTATTGTTTATTTTGAATAATATTAAACGTATACCGTTAGCCGACCCATTTGACCCTGAAAAAATTTCATTTTATAAGCTTTTATTTTACTATATTTCTCTAAAGACCGTTGTGTAAATAATTTGCAAAAAATATCAAAATTTTTGATAGGACAAAAAAAATTTCAGTAAAAATTTATTTGAAACCATCAAAAATTGTTTTTTTTTGGAAAGTCGCTTTCGCAATATTATAACTAGCAAACGTTGTTTTGCCACAAAAAATACGTCTAGTATAATAGGTTTAGTATAAAAATAAACAACTGCTTGCAAATGTGGTATATAAGTGAAATGAGCAGCTAATAAAAATATATGAGTAGTTTCTACTAATAAAAAATTATAACTCTCTAAAATTCTAGTTTTACATTCCTCACTGTTTGTTTGGTTTTATTGAATTTTTTGAAGGGCCAATGATTTGTAATGTATTTATTTTAAATTAACTAGAAATTGTATTTGTATTTATAACTAACTGACCCGACAGACTTTGTCCTGTACCCATGCCTAAAAACTTAAATTTTTTAAAATACTGGTATTTACCGTTTAGTTAAAACTAATCATCAATGTTTTTGCACTACAATCTATACCGAAATGTAAGTACAATTTCTACACTTGAATTTCAATTATACAATAAAAACCAAATCAGCTACATCACAACATATACCATATATCAAACGGACTGTATATAGCCTATTGGCGTATAATAAATGAATAAATAAATAAATAAGTATATAAATAAATAAAATAAGTTCATTGTCTGTCCTTGTGACTTGGAGTTCCATCTAACAATTTATATGTTTTTTTTAGATAAATATCGAACAGTATGGCTTATTGATCTAACCTAACCGTTCTTTGCATTTGAACAATTGGATATTCACACAAATTCCATACTACAGACTAAACCGTAAAAGAAACGAAAACATTCTATTTGGATAAAAGATGCAGAATAAAAATTACGAATAAAATGATATATAAATCGTTAAGTGTGTGTTCATATAATTTTCTCGGGATTTTCTAATTTTCCTTGAATTTAACTACTGCAACTCGCCTGTAGGCCACACCGTTAGGATTTCGAAGTTGCGAAATATGGGAAAAGATCTAAGAATTTTGAGACCTTTCTAACGATATATAATACTTTGTTTTCTTTAAAGAAATGTCGAATAGTTTGAACTGTGAACTATTGAATATTCACACAAATTGCTCTCTACAATCCAAACCGTAAAAGATATAAAAAAAACTTTGTTCGGACGAAAGATGCAGATTAAAATTACGAATAAAATAATATATAAAACGTTAAGTGATTCTACGTTTTAGTTAGAAAACGTTTGTATGTAAAAAAGAAAAGAGCTGCTTTTATTAGGATTTCCCGGCAATTATTCGATTTTTTCTTGTCGTAAGAACCATCCTTGGACATCAACGAACATTTTAAAAAAAGAATTGGCCAAATTGGTTCAGGCGTTGTTGAGTTGTGCGCTTACCAACACATTTTGCGATCCATTTTTATATATAAGATATTATTAAAAACTTTGAAAACATTGTAAATACAAATACAATTTGTAGTTATATTAAAAATAAAAACATAATTAATATACAATTAAAGTGTTTTATAACAAATCTATGGTCCTTCGAAAAATCAATCAAGCATTGAAACAAACACTCACGTTCATTTTTTTTGAAAAAGAAAAAGCATTAGTTTGTACAAAGCTTCGGCAGAACATATCCCCTGAGCAAAAATGACACGCAAAATCGTGAAACTTTCCACAATTTTTTAATGTACAAAGGTTTTAAATATCTGATTATTTATATATATTTTTGGGATTGAACTTTTGGAATAATTTGTTGCCTTCATAAAAAATAAGTTTTCACGCCGGTAGCTACGCCCTTGTCTATAACCATTGCAACCATTTGAATTTTTATTTACTATGAACAAACAAGATCTTGTTCACGCTATTACAAAGATATTTTTGATTCATGCATTTTGTTAGTTCCATGCAGAACAGAGTGCCATAAAATGTTGGCACAAACAGGTTGAATATACTTGAATGAAGTACTAAACAATGACGAGAACTTATTGAGTAATATGTTGGTTCTTTTTTAACTTCCCGTAGGGCAAGTTATAGTAATCGCAAAAAAATCGAAAATGAAAATTTTTGCATTTCTCGACGTTTCAAAGGTTTCTGAATATTTTGGCATACCTTAGAAAAAATTGATGTATGTGTGTGTGTGTGTGTGTGTGTGTGTATGTGCGGATACAAATTTTCGTCGACGATTTCGGGAACACCGATCAACCGATTTGAATAATTCAAAAAACATTCGATTCGTATTGATAAGGAAACGTGCTGATTAGTTTTTGGCGAAGTCAGGTCTAGCCGTTCCGAAGATACGGGTCAAAAAGTGCCGAAAACGGTAACTCAGTTTTTAAGAGAACGGAGCGTCCGATTTTAATAATTCAAAAAACATTTTACTTGTATTGACAAGGTGAAAAACCGATCAAATTTTCATAAAGGCAGGTCTAGCGGTTTCGGAGATCTAATGAAAAAAGTAAAAAAAAATGCCATTTGGCGGTCAAAAATGATCATTAGACATATGCACATCAAATTATCAGATATTTTATAGAGATTTTAACAATAAGTATAATTTTGGTTTACATTCCTATGGGTTCCGTACCAATATCTACGCGTTAGACGTCGACGCGGCGCTTACGCGGTTTGATATTTCGTCTTTATGCAGTTAAAGCAGTACGATTGCTTTGAAAAAAAGTTTAGATCTTTCAAAATATGTCAAAATAAAGAAAACATTTAAAAAAATGAAAAAAATTTTTTTTAAAAAAAAAGTAATTTTTTGTCTAATTGTTTGTCAAAAATCTTATTTTTTCGAAGTAAATTTTTTTCAAAAATGTTAATCGTTTTTAAAAAAATAATAATTTTTGGTACGGGAAGTTCCAGAAATTTGCCTTAAGGCACGATGCCTTAATTGCCTTAAGACAGAATTCCACTTACAGCTAGTTTTATTATAAAATATGCTTATGAGCTACAACATACATATAAACAATGAGCAAGCTAAAAATCAATTCAAGTCTTGACATGCACTAAATTTTTGACCTAAAAGCAAATACATTATTATACATTATACATTTAAATAATTTATCCAACCCATCAAAATACTACTGATAAATATTTTATATTTAAATACCTGATTCATAAGTGGAGGATGTTCCTCACAAAATTCAATGAGCACCAATTCTCCATCTTTTCCAGATAGATCTTCGGGCGTCCTCATGAAAAAAACATCGCCTCCGCCTGATGCCATACGCTCCTGCTCTCGTTGTTTTGCCTTCTTCTTGATATGCTTCAATAAGGGATTTACAGGCACAGCGGACGGAGTCGCCAATGGCCCATGAGAAAATTTCTTCAAAGGTGGTCTGTGGAAGTTCCGCAGCTTTATAGGCCCCATATGAGTCTAATAATAATAATTACATATACATAAATTGGAGATTCATAACAATAAATAAATTACTGAAGCTTACAAGCATTCTATAAAATCAATGTAGCTGTTATGATACTGTTCATTAAAACTAATCAAAACTATACATGAACCACTGGAATTAGCATAAAAGAAACAAAGTGATCATGAGCACTGATCGGTTCATATAATTGCCTAATTGCCCATCTAGACAATGCCAGTTTATTATACATTCTAATGCTTCTTTAAATTAAAGTGACATTTTGACTTAAGAAAAGCTGCAAAACTTCATGATCCGTGTAAATAAAGGACTTAATCAAAAAGAATTAAATTTAGCAAATATTAAAATTGTTTGGATAGAAATTTGAAATCTTCACACAACACATTATTCCGAATGGATGAATATTTGATAAGTAAAATATTTCCTTAGACCCATGAATCATATAGTCATAAAAAGCCGGTTTTGAGTAAACGTCAATAAAAAATCAAATTTTAGCTCACATACCTAATGTATCAATTTTGAGGACAAAATATTCATAAGTACTTGAAAAACAAACAAAGAAAAAAAAAACATTTATTTTCAAGTAATCAAACTCAAAAATACAGTCAAACAAAGAAGCAAAGTTCTTTACATCCATTCTAATCTAATTTATTGTTTATTCACTCAAGGATTCTTAAATATTTCTAACAAATATTACCATATTTTGTTCATTCTCAATCATACTTAGTCAAAAAATTGATTGTTTTTTCCCCGATAACATTCATTTTTGTCGATTGTTCTATGGGACCGTTTATTATAAATTAAGAATGTGTGATTTTCAACCTTTTTTGAATGAGTAGCCTTAAATTGGTGTTGTATATGAACGAATGTGACAGACAAGCCAGCACTGTGGGTACATCAATAAGTTTCATACTAAAAATATAAATAAAAAATAATTTTGATTAAAAAACACAAACCTGTATAAATGGCGCTCTCAATTCAACAACAGGTGTAGAATGTTGGATTAAATTTCCGCCTCCGACCTTAAGTCGCATTGACGATTCTAATGATCTCGGCATGTAATACCTAAATTATATTTTTTAAACATTGTTCAATAATTATTCTTTTTTTTTTAATACAAAAAAACACTTACACATCATTAGAAATATTGAAAGGATCTCTATCAGGCGATTTCGGTGGTGGCGGTGGAGCATCTTCTTGAAGCACGTTGATCACACCGGCTTTCCCGAGAAGGATTTTAGACTTTTTGACATGAGGATGAGGAATCTTCACCTTTGGAGCTGGTCCAGTGTCTATATGAACCATATTAAATAACTTCTTAACTAACTACACATAACTTAACTATAAATATTTTATGAAAAATTAATCGTTTTAACGGGAAATAAGCTTATTAGATTTATTAACAATGAAATACCAAAAGTGGGTTATTATTTAAGAAAAGAATATATTCTATATTCTAAACTTTAGAAAAGTGTTTGAAAACTAAAATACATTCCTGAGAGTTTATTATAATAATAAAATATAATAACCAGTATATATGAATAATAAGATTGATTGTACCTTGCTGAATTTTGCTAGGATCAATATCATCAGGAATTCCTAAAATGATATTCTCATCGTTTGGATCAAGAGTAAGTATTTTAGGTTTAGGTATCTTATTCATAGCCTGTGCGTCCCATATTACATCATCTTCCCATTTTCCATATACAAGTTCCTCATTTTCGACAGGAAATATACTGTACCAAGTATCATCAACTTCTTCTTTGGATTTTGGTGGAATTCTGAAAATAAGTTATGATGATTATAATACACATACAAACACGCATATATATATATATATATATATATATATATATATATATTCCATAGAACATTATAAACCAATATTAAAATGTAAACTACTCTACAAAATATAATATATAATATTTATTATATTTTATGGAATAGTCATAACATTACAGAATGCATGATGTAAATATTATTAATTTACATTGGCGTCTTATTTTGCTTGACAGAAGCATTGGCAAGAATTCCTGGCCTTTGTACATTCTGAATTCCTTTAGCTGCTCCAGGCTGACTGAAAGCACCAGCTGTTCTACTGCAACTACTCGGCAACCATCCTGCAGCATTAGATTTGGAGTTCAACTTTTGTAAGACCTATTTTAAGTGGTTTTTGATAAATATTAGATACTATATGTAATAACTATATAATTTTGTAAATGTAATTAAATACAAGAAAACACAAAACATAGAAAAAAAGATTGAAAACAGATTATAAAAATTGATGAAAGAATTTAATAGATAGTCTTCAAAAATGAAAAACGTTATATATTATTATTTTACCTTGTGCTTAATATCATTTCCATCCCATACTACATCATCCTCCCATCGTAATTGTGACACCATCAAAAATGCATCATCGGGTATAGTTGAATCAGCATTATCTTCATTAACGTCCTGAAAGAAAAATAATGACTAACTATTCTCATTCAATATTATTTAATTAAAAGTGAATAATACTTTAACTCTAGTTTACTCAAAAGGAAGTAGAACATATAATGCAAAACTATCAGTTACATTTAAAAATAAAGAGGTTTTTTATTACGTTGGTGTTTCAAAAAGTTTATAAAGATTAAGATTCAATAGTTTCTTTTAACTGGGTATGACTTGTTGATTACTTAAATATTATATAATTATTAGTGATGTGCCGACTCGAAAAATTCCCGATTCGAATGATTCGAATCAGAAAAAAACCTGATTCGAATCAACTCGAATCAAGTATATATATTGACCAAAAAAAAGTCATGGATGTATTAATTTAGTAAAAGTAATCCAAATTTATAATCAAAATTGTCAGTTTAACCAATGTAACCGACAAAGTAGAAATTGTAAACATAAATTACTATCAAAATTTATATATTCTGAAAATTATTAAAATATATATTTATATATTCTGAAAATTATTAAAAATGATATAATTTTGAGGACGGCTGAAACATATCTTCAAATTAATTTACAATAATAGATTACCAAACAATTGTGCATCACTAAAGCATATAAAATAATATTTGGAATCATGGGTCGATTGTTTATTTTACGATGTAATCAGTAAAGGATCGCATCTAAACTGAGAGCTGAAACTTAATTTCATTAATGTGAATTTGCCATTACTTACATAATCAGAAGTTAACATATTATTTACTGACTTTCTGGTGTTTAGTACTTGTTTCAAAAGAGAATTATATTGAAAGATTCCCGAAACTCGTTTCATAATTTCGAGTGGTTTATTCTGATAACATTTAAAATCTAAAACACTTAATTATTATCAAAATTGGGTATTGATATTTCACGAACAAAATCGCTCTCAGCGCTCCGTAAAAAAAATAAACACGCAAGAACGACGACGCATTGTATTTGTTTCAAAGTCGCTTGATATCGCCCATACGGTTAACTCATATCGCTTGAACTCATATCGCTCGAACGGCTTGAAGTCGGAATGATTCGAATCCGAATTGAAGTCGAAACAACTCATATCGCCGCTTGATTCGGTTTGAGTCATATGAAGTCGGATGATATAGTTAGTCGATGAATGCGGTTAAAGTCATATAAAGACGATTGGAGTCGGCTGATACATTTAAGCATATTAAAGTCGGGTGGCTCGCATGATTTAATTCATTATTTATTTTTTATATTTATGATATTTATTTTTTATATTATTATAATATTGAATTAAATTAAAACATTTTTTTTATATTTATATTTATGAAAAATTTTATATTTATGAAAAATTTGTGTTAATACATATTTTATCACAGTAAATATTTCGCGGCTTGATACGAGTTGATTCGAATCAAGTAAAATCTGATTCAAATCAAGTCGTTAAAGGCTTGATTCGAATGATTCGAATCACTTGATTCGACTTGGCACATCACTAATAATTATGAATATATAAATGTATGCGATTTCAAATATTTACAGTTTGGGGTTGCTCTTTTTCTTTGAGCTTGAATCCATAGTCAAAGCCTTCTCCTGATTCCGGAACTTCTAACATATCATACCACAACTGAGCAGGGCCAAAGCGCCAGTCAGCAGCTTTTGGTCCTAAATCATTCTGATCACCTTGCTCATCATTGTTTATAGTTGCTTCATCAGATACCTCTTTCAAGAGATGATCCTGAAAATAATTAAAACTCAAGAAACAATTTAAATAAGATATCGAAAGAAAAAATTATTTACCTCATCATCGCTGGCTAGTAATTCTGGGTCAGTCGGTGGCGGCGCAAATGACAATTTCCACTTGTGTTCGTTTTGAATTCCTTCATTTAATGATATAGGCTCATCAGTTATTCTATACTTTCGTTTTTTACGTTTCCTTCGTACATTGCGCCAAATATGAGGCAAACTGCTTGGTTTTCCTAAGCCAAATAATCTGGAGAAGCGTAAAACCTAGAATGATAAGCAAAATTAGAACAAAATATGATTTCGTTATAGCAGTATCTATGAATACTTTCTATACTACTAAATACTTACTTTATCAGACCTAAAATCTGGGAACAGTTCCGTTACATCAACACCTGCATATTTCGAAGGTAGCATAGCAGCAAGTGGTGTTTCTAATTTTTTCTTGCTGTCAGAATTGTTCATGGTATCATCATCAGCCAAACTAAATATATGAAAATAAATTATTATGTAGGACTAATACAGTAATACCACGCTTAACGCTGTTTCGGTTTAGCGCTCTTTAATTTCAACCCAGGTTTTCAAGAGGTAAATGTGTAATATGTTGAGGAATTAATTCAAGAAGCTGCGCAGTCTTTCTAATGATGAGCTCAAGGAATTAACAAAAATGTTGAAAACAAAAGAACTTTCAATGGCGTTTGGAAAAAGAAGTTTGTCTATCATAACTGAAATAATAGATCAATTCTTTGCAAATTATTCGAATTTTGACAAGAGCTGGAAAGTAAGAGATGCTTTATCCGTTTATAAGGAACATTTAAGAAAACAACGGAAAGTAAAAGGCAAACAACATTAGACGCATTTGTCACAAATAGGTAGAAGGAACTGAAGGCAATGAAAACGCAGATGGCTAACTAGATATGACTGACTTAGAATTTTGTTTTTTTTTTCAAGAATATTCGTTTTGTTTTTATTTTGCAAGAAATAAAACATACTTTTTAAATTTAATACCTAACTAATTTCCGATCCATCTTCCCCTAAATCCGGCCACAACGTAACTCTATTTGCGCAAACAATGACTTGCACAAGTATTCTATAGCGTGTGTGAGATGTACAATCATTCAAGTCGGCAAATTCATTCTGTTGACACGGTGCAGCACATGTTTCGTTTGTGTTTTACTTTGTAGGAAATACATAATTCAAATTTATGAAGTTATTAACATTTAAGTATTTAAATTAGCCATATGAACTTTTTTAATTATCTTCCGATGCTGTGAATACATAAATTAATAAAAAAGATATATTTTTAGGTTCTGTCTTGACATTTTTCAGTTGACATGTTTGATATGCGCAAATCACTGGTTGCGCAATTATACAGTATCGTCTGCAGCCGGCTTAAGAACAAAGATACGTTTAACTTAGAAATTAAACTTATTGAGATATGTTTCCAAATGAAAACAATCCGCGAAAAAAGCTAAATTGTAAATACTTATTTATAGTGCTCGTATTTATGCGATTGTATATTGAAATATAAATACGTTGTCTATACGTTTACTAATTACTAATAGCTTGCTGTTGTTTGTTAGTGTGTTTTTTAACATTCCGAAGGAGCAGTTTATGTTTTCGCTTATTTATAGATAAACATATAAACATTTGTGATTCGTTCTTCGAGTTACCGACACCACTGTTATATATATATATATATATATATATATATATATATATATACAGTGGTGTCGGAACTGTGTGGGCTTGAGCCCGCCCATCAATCTCAAAAAGTGATATGACCTAACAGGTCTAAAAAAAAAAGAACCTATCAAAAATAAAACGAGCCCACCCATCAAAAATTTGCTTCCGACGCCACTGCATATCATATATATATATATATATATATATATATATATATATATATATATATATATATATATATAATAAGTTGTTCTTGGGCGTTCATGCATTAATTGAAACTATTTTATTGAAGTAAAATGTTTTATTGTCAAACGTTTCGGGTCCTGATTTGACCCATCATCAGTGCTACATTAAAGGATTACAGAGTTAAAAGTTAAAAATATAATAAAAATACAAAGATATAAATAAAAAATGTGAATTAACTTAATAAATCTAAATGATATGGCAAAAAAATTTATTACTAGACTAAAATATGTTGTATATAAAGGTAAGACACAACTGAAATAATTGAAAAATATGCAATAACTCACCATACAAATAATTTAAAAAAAAAACAAAAAACACGGAAAATATAATGCACCAATTACTATACATTTTTCAAAGCACGAATTTTAAAAATCATTAAATTAAAATAAAATAAAATTTATTACAAAAAATGTTTGCCTACTGATTACAGCTTAAATCCAAAAGCTATATTTTCCGTATCCTAACTTTGTAATTTTACCGCCGGCCAAAGCGCCACTAAAACTTTTCTATCTCAGTCTTTCAACCAATAACGAAACAGCTCTTCGAGTTTCCTTATCTTTACATAGAAACACAATTCAACTAGTGAATTTTTTTCCAAATATAGAACATGTCTCGAAGAGAAGAGTTCTTTTTTTTAAAAAACCTTTTCATTTATTTTATTTTAATTTAATATTTATTTTAATTTAATAAGTTTTTAAAATTCGTACTTTGACAATTGTATAGTAATTAATGCATTATATTTTCCGTGTTTTACGTTCATTCTTCAAATTATTTGTATGGTGAGTTATTGCATAATTTTCAATTATTTTATATGTGTCTTACCTTTATATACAACAACATATTTTAGTCTTAAAATCAAATTTTTTACCATATTGTTTCGATTTATTAAGTTAATTCACATATTTTTATTTATATCTTCCTATTTTTATTGTATTTTTAACTTTTAATGAAAACCTTTAATGTAGCACTGAAGATAGCAAATCAGGACCCAAAACATTTGACAATAAAACAATTTACTTCAATATAATAGTTTCAATTAATGGATGAACGCCCAGCCCAAGAACAACTTTAGTATAATATTTCACCATCTGAGAAAACCTCACTATATATATATATATATATATATATATATATATATATATATATGCGTATGTGTGTGTGTGTTTGTATAAATTTATCATTAAAATACCTATTGTCTTTTCCTTCAGAACTCTTTTGACCAGGAGGAGGCATAAGTATGTTATCGTTGGCATTTGATGCACTATTTCCTTGATTAGTATCATTTCTATCATGCCCGGAAATAATACCAATATTTGAATTAATATTGTTAATATATGTCTTTTCTGATATATTCTCTTCTATATCCTCAATGGACATCTCATCATCAGATTTCTTTTTAACCTGTAACTCATGTTAAATTTAACAATTTCAAACAAATATATATTCAATATATTTCCTTCCTTATCCTCAATGGACATACATATTTCATCATCGGATTTCTTTTTAACTTGAACCTAATTTCAAAAAAATGTGATGAAAATATACAAATTAAACAACTACAAAACATAAAGTTTACTTCTATGAAAAATGAAACATCAGTTTCATCAGAGTTTTAAATATCTATTATAGATATAACTCATTAGTATCAATAAAAATAATAAACAAAAATAAACAACCCTTAAAGAACATTCACAGAGTTTTCAAAGATATTTTGTAATAACTTTAATATTAACATAGATATCAAATTTTAATGTCTAATTAAATTCAATAACATGACAAAAAATTGAATGAATTTACAAACAAACAAAAATTACCAGTGTATCGCTACATTCTTCTGCCAGTTCTTGTATGCCAAAAAAATCTTCGGCGGTGGGTGACTTATTAGAAAAGTCAATATCTGCAAAAAATAAGTAGTAATTGAATATTGATTAATTGGCATTCGACAACTTTATACATATACAAGAAACATATACATCTAATGATATATTAGGCTTGCACTGAATATACTCTTCGGTATCCGGCACCTTTTTTGATATTCGGCCGAATACCGAATAGTTAAAATAGAAGGCGCCGCAGCGGTTAGTGGCACTCATTTGTGTTTTATGCGATAAAGAGCTTGCGATGGAGCTTGATTTTTAGATAACATATGATAACAGATTAATTCTTGATTGTGTATATAATATAGTAAACTTTACCGACTTTTGAGATTATAAATTAACACATCGAAAACGCCTTTCTGAATATTCTCCAAACAATATGTTATTGTTACATATTTGTTATTTTTAATTGGAATCAATCGATAAACACACAATTGATGGGTATTTGTCTATAAACAATCTACCATCTCTTTTCTTAAGATTTAGTGATATATCTTATCATGACAATCCATGAAGTTTGACAAGCTAGGGAACTTCAGTTCTATTCAGTTATATTTGATCAAAATTGCGGCAAAAATATTTATCGGTGCCAGTATGTACTCATATGTATGTATTCATAATGCCTTTTCTCCGAAGCTGGTAACAAATAACCTACTTCCTAAAAATGCAGAGAAATTAATTTTTAATCTCCCTCTTATGCATTTTGATTATGATTCTTTTATTTTCTAATATATGTAAGTAGTTGCCTAATATTCGGTATGCGGTCTTATTCGGCATTTTGCCGCATATACTATTCATTGCAAGGGTAGTATATATATATGTACATACATATATACATCCACAGTGGAACCCTAAGAACAACTAGTGGGGTGCATGGCATCGTGCCTTAAGGCAAATTGCTGGAACTTTCCGTACCAAAAATTATTTTTTTGAAAAAATATTAAATTTTTTCTTTAAACTTTTTTTTTAGAGAATTTTTAAATTTTGAAAAAAATTGAATTTTTGGAAAAAAACTTGTCAAAAAAATGTTTTTTTATTTTGAAATATTTTGGAAATTTTGAACTATTTTTCAAAGCAATCGCACTGCTTTAGCTGGATAGAGACGACATATCGAAGCGCGTAAGCGCCGCGTCGCCGTCTATCGGACAAACGACGTTATGGAACCCATAGAAATGCAACCAAAATTGATACACATTATTAAAATCTCCATAAAATATCTGATAATTTGATGTGCATATGTCTAATGATCATTTTTGACCGCCAAATGGCATTTTTTTTACTTTTATTACTAGATCTCCGAAACTGCTAGACCTGCCTTCCCAAAAATTTAATCAGTTGTTCATCTTGTCAATGCAAGTAAAATGTTTGTTGAATTATTAAAATCGGACGCTCCGTTCTCTTAAAAACTGAGTTACCGTTTTTGGCACTTTTTGCCCCGTATCTACGGAACGGCTAAATCTGCCTTCGCCAAAAACTAATCAGCACGTCTCCCTATAGATACGAATCGAACGTTTTTTAAATTATTCAAATCGGTTTATCGGTGCTCCCGAAATCGTCGACGAAAATTTGTATACGCACACACACACACACACACATACACCCACTTTTCTAAGGTACGCCAAAATATTCAGAAACCTTTGAAACGTAAAGATATATACAAATTTTCATTTTCGATTTTTTTGCGATTACTATAATTTAACCTACGGGAAGTTAATTATGCTAATATAAATTCTTGTATAGTAGATAATGAATTCTCGTATATGTGGATAATGGATATTTGGAGAGTTTCATTATTGAAACTTGTTAGTTTCTTATTAACTTCCCGAAGAAAAAGTTTATGTTCTCATCAAAGAATCCGATTCGCTAATTTTATGTTTTCTCGACATTTCAAGCCATTCTGAATTGAATGAAACCAAATTTGGAAAAAGTATGTGTGTGTGTGTGTGTGTGTAAACACATTTTTTACAGTAAATCGACGTTTTCTCAAAAACGGATCACTATTAGTCAGAACGAATGAAAATAATCAATAATAATAATTATTGTTTTATTCAGCGCGTTGGATTTTTTATTATGACTAATGAATATACTTATATACAAGATATAAATTTTGGTTTTTAATAAATATTTCCATACTTATATATATAATTTGTCGAGACGCGCCGAGCCTTATGCTTGCTCGTCGCTCTTGCAAAGCTACATTATATGGGCGTTCTTGTACCGGCAGCGCGCGTACTAGCTTAAGTTTTTCCAACTTTTCTCCAAAAGTTCCACTTTGATTTAAATGAATTTTTGAATAATAGAAGAAAAATGTACAGGCTTTCGAATGATGCTAATATAAAAGTAGTCAAAAAAGCCGCACTGGTAGATAATGGAAAATGAAAAATCATTTTCACCTTTTCACGCACTAACAAATAATTTTTTCACATTATTTGTTATGAACAACATAGACAAGATCAGTACAAATAGAATGACGTTAACAGTTTTTCGATATCTCTCATATTTCCGACAAAAAGTGAGTTTGAAAAAAGGGGCCACTTTCACATGTTTTCACTGATATCTCGGCCAAATGATGAGCTACGGATTTGAAATTTGGTATTTCAAATTTTCTCAAAAATACCTATAAAATGGCATCAGAATTATTTAAATACCAAGGTACCCTTTGTAGCGTTTTTTTGGCATTTGTCAAAATTAGACCTTTGATCGACGTTTTCTCAAAAACGCCTGAACAGATTTCAGAACTTTAAAAGCCATTTTATGTATCTAAATACGAAAAATGTATCGACGGAGTGAGTTACCCATCTCTAATATATATACATATATATCTTAAAAGCTTAAAATCATTTTTACCTGTGGCTTCATTATTTGTTTCAAAAACATTAGAACTGTTATCATTATTATCACCACTAGGTGAATCATTTGGGTAGTCTTCTAATATATCTTTAATTATTGGTTTTAATTCTGGTGCTCTGAAATAATATTGTAAAAATTAATACTAAAATTCTTCAGTTAAAAAAATAAAATAAATGTTGTATTTGGTATACTATGTATGTAATTATAAACATTACATAAACAAATATTTTATTATCACAGAAATAATATAATTTGAAAATAGCAAGAAGGAAAATTAGAAATGTGTTCACCATGTTCAATTATTTACATCTTGTATGTAGATCAATGTACACAATGAAATAAATAATGTTTAATAACTTATGAATAATTAAAAATTATCTTTTTCATATGATTCAAATCAAAATATAGTTTATTAACCACTTCCCGTGCCATTTAGCTCTATGAAACTTAGGCCAAGAATTAGACGCTAATAAATCTTAAATACCTCAGATATAGTATATCTATTTTAAATTCCATGCATGGGTATATATTTAAAATTACGGTGTAATAATAAAAACTGGCTTTTCAGTTTGACGAATCTGACTCGTTATGTTTATGTTTGGTCCCACCTTCTATTCACAAGCCTGGCTAATCATATTTATTTTTGAGCCAATATTTTTATCACAAGCCAGACACGTCGAGGCACGGGAAGGGGTTAAAAAAACAGTCTCAGCAATAATGTTGACAAAAAAAACATTTTTCACTTTTGATAGCAATCACTAGTAACTTGAAATATTTTAGAGGTAAAATTTAAAACATTAGATTAAAAGCGATATTTAATAATGTGTTTTATGAATAAATTATAATGAATAAAATATACATAACTACAAAGTATGTAAGAAAAACTTCATGCAAATAACCAAAATTGTAAAATCTGTATAATTTAATATTAAAATTAAACAACAACTAATACGGTATGGGTACATTCATACCTATTAAGCAAAGATAAATTGTTTTTAAGTTCAGTATCAAAGAAATCGTCATCTAATCGCCCAAATTTATCAACATTTCCAAACAAGAAAAATGTTAGGTTAAGCCCACTTCCCTCGTCGCATTCCTCATCGCTGTCAAACATTTTTATAATAATTATGCGTATAGTTTTTTGTCCATATAGAATTTAATGGCCTTTTCAACACCATTTGTATATTTTTCGTAATAACTTTCTTATTACAATATCTTTCATTAGGGAATTATATCCAAGCGAGTTTTGATATGCATTTGATTAAAAACACAGACGCACTGACGTTTGTTCACATAAACATTAATCATGCGTAGACTATCTTGAAGCATAGATAAAAGTCAAGGAGGTATGTTTTTCTAAAAGCTACACTAGCGCCTCTCGCGGCAAATTTAGTCCTTGCTTGAGTCTGAAGCCGATAATGACATTTAAAAATCAGTCCGTTTATTTAAATATAATGCTTCGAAATTGAAAAATTAACTAGTGGTGCCTGGCATCGTGCCCTAAGATAAATTACTGGAACTTTCCGGACCATAATTTAAAATTCTTAGAAACTTTAAATTTTTTTGAAAACGTTGAAAATATAATATTTTTGAGAATTTTGAAATTTTTCTAAAACTTGGACACTTTTGAAATTGATATTTATATTTTACATTTTTTTGAAAATTTAGATTTTTGTTTTCAAAGCAATTGAGCTGCGTAGCTGTTTTAGATATGAAATATCGAAGCGCCGCGTTGCAGTCTACGGTATAAATCTTGGTACGGAACAAATAAAAGTGTGGGATGCATGGCATCGTCCCTTAAGGCAAATTGCTAGAATTTTCCGTACCGTAATTGAAAATCTTGGTACGGAACTCAAAAAAAATTACACAAAATGTGTACAAATTATTAAAATTTCTATAAAATATCTGATAGTTTGATGTACATATGCCGAATAAACAGTTTTGACCGCCAAATGACATTTTTATTGAGAGTCCATAACCGCTGAACCTGCCTTCCCAAAAATTAATTCAGTTGTTCATTTTGCCAATACAAGTAAAATGTTTTTTGAATTATTAAAATTTAACGCTCCGTTCTCTTTAAAATAGAGTTACCGTTTTTGTCATTTTTTTCCCCGTATCTTCGGAACGGTTGGACCTGCCTTCGCCAAAAACTAATCAGCACGTCTTCTTATCAATACGAATCGAATGATTTTTGAATTATTCAAATCGGTTGATCGGTGTTTTGTATCCGCACACACACGCATACACACAAACACACATACACACACTGTATTCACCTCAAACAGACACAAATTCATCTCAAATAAAAAAAACAATAAATATTAAAACATATTATTGTTCTTACTAATTGTGGCTACATTCAACAGTAAAGAAAACTAAAATTAAGATTTTTATCAGATTCAGTTGAAATCAATTACTATTGTAAAATGATATTGAGCAAATAGCAGACTTTATTTATATTGTTAGTTCAAACTGCTTGAATGATAACATATGTCTATAATCTTATTTACATTGGAAAGAATAATTAATTGAAGAATGCTTACCTATATCTGGAATTATCAGCACCTTATGCCTATATAAGTGAAGCTTGAAGTTTTAAAAACTGCATCATTTGATACCAGATTTCCAAATAAAGATCAGTCTAAATATTTTATTAGGCGATTGTAAAAAAAATGCGGGGTGGCAATTATTCAGTTTGCGACTATTCTAACCCTTTCCACTCGGATGTCTCCCTGAGGAGACAACGTAAGTGTAGCTACGTAAGACTCGGCTGTCTCCTCTGAGGCACGCGGCAGTTTGCATACGCAATGACCAACCCGCGGTTTATTATTAATAATTAATAAATTAATATTTATTTTGCCGAATTGGTTCCAATTCTTTTTAATCTCCGAAAGAAGAATTTTTCGAAAAAAATCCGATTCGCTAATTTCATGTTTCCTCGATGTTTCAAGTCATCGAATGAGATCAAATTTGAAAAAGTATGTGTGTGTGTGTGTATGTGAGCTGAATTTTTACCTTTTCGTCGATGTTTTCTCGACTAGATGAGCTAGACTGATCCAAAATACCAAAATTTAAAAGCCATTTGATGTATCTCGATAAGCACTATCGTTGTTCAGTTTTGCGCGACGACGGTCAAACCCTTTCTTTAATATTTGCAGAAAAGTGTGAAATTTTTCGACCACGTTTTAGGCCACAATCTTAAATCGTTTTTAAATATTCAAAAACTGTGTGAAATATATTGTTTGGAAATCGCGTTGATTAGTTTTGGTGAATATCGGCCTAATTTTTTGGACGATTTTGATGAATCTTTGTATAATAATAGATTTCGTAGTCTGAGATAACATAAGATAAAGCAGGGCTTAGTCCGCTACATTATTAAACCAATGCAAAATATAAATTTCATGGGTGTATTTTTTACAAAGATAACGCTGTTAATAATCTAGATCTGGTATTTCGTCAGAAATATTCATCAAGAGAAATGAAATAATAATTTATTTAATTTATCTCTTATAAAACTGCTTTCTTTAACTTAGTTTACTTTCTTAACTTCTCGTAGGGTAATTTATAGTGATCGCAAAAAATCGAAAATGAAAATGTTTATATATCTTTCAAACGTTTTAAACATTTCATACGTTTCAAAGGTTTCTGAACATTTTGGTATATCTTAAAAAAATGGATGTATGTGTGTGTGTGTGTATGTATGCGCGGATATAATTTTTCTTTGACGATTTCGATAACACAGATCAACCGATTTAAATGGTTCAAAAAACGACTTGTCGATTCCTATTGATAACAAGACGTGCTGATTAGTTTTTGACAAAGACAGGTCCAGCCGTTTCGAAGGTACGGAGCAAAAGGTGCCAAAACACAGTTATTCAGTTTTTGAGAGAACCGAACGTTCGATTTGAATGATATATAAAACATTTTACTTGTATTGACGAAATAAAGAATTGTTGAAATTTTCTGGAAGACAGGTGCATCGGTTTTGCAGATCTAATGGAGAAAGGAAAAGAAAACCCTATTTTGAGGTCAAAATGATTATTATTCATGTGAGCACCAAATTATCATGTATTTTATAGAGATTTTAAAAATGATTTTGAATTTTGTTTACATTTCTATGGGTTCCGTACCAATCTTTATACGTTAGAATGCGACGCGGCGCTTACACCCTCGATATTTCGTCTCTAAGCAGCTAACGCAGCGCGATTGCTTTGAAAAAAAGTCAATTTTTTTCAAAAATTTCAAGAATTTTTATTTAAATTAAAGCTTTTGCTCTAAATCGAATGAGACCAAATTTGGAAAAAGTATGTGTGTGTGTGTGAACAGATTTTTTGCCGTAAATCGACGTTTTCTCCAAAACGGATGGACCGATTTCAAAAATTTAAAAGCCGATCGATGTATCTTGATGAGGACTAGCGTTTCTGAGTTTTGTGCGACGATCGGCCGGGCCGTTTCTTTGTAAATTGCAGAAAAGTAAAAAAAAATTTGTCCACGTTTTAGGCCGCAATTCTGAATCGATTTTGAAAATTCAAAAACCGTTCGATAGATATTGGTTGGGAATCGTGCTGATTAGTTTTTGGTTAAGATGGGCCGGGCCGTTTTCTTGTAATAAAGTTTAAAAAAAAAAAATTCGACGATTTTTATGATTTTTTTTTCACGGTAGATACCATAGTCTTCTAGATCATACTAAAATATTACGGCCCTACGACAAGCCGTTTAATTTTGAAAATTCTTTAAAGTTTGCAAAAATGTATCGTTTTTTTGGCATTTGTCAAAATTAGACCTTTGATCGACGTTTTCTCAAAAACGCCTGAACCGATTTCAGAAATTTAAAAGCCATTTGATGTATCTCAATGAGAACTATCGTTTGTCAGTTTTGTGAGACGATCTGCCGAGCCGTTTCTTTGTAATTTGAAAAAATAGTGTTAAACTTTTCGTCCACATTTAACCTCAAACTACCGAACCGATTTTAAAAAATCAAAAACTGTTCGAAAGATATTAGTTGGGAATGATACTGATTAGTTTTAGGTTAATATCTACCGAGCCGTTTTCTTGTAACATTTGAAAAAAAAATTGAAGTCGATTTTAATGGAACTTTTTTTGGCGATATATATCATGGTCTTAAAGAACTTACTGAAATATTGCGGCTTTACGACAAGTAATTCAATTCTATAAATTCATCAAAATTTGAGAAAATAAGTAGTTTTTTTGACGTTTGTTAAAATTAAAATTAGACAATTTACTTGGTATAACGATGGAGTACTTGGTCTTAATGTCTTAATACTAAACCATTAAAGACACATTCAATCATTGATTTTTGAAAATTTGCTTTTAGAAAATACTCCAAGTTAACGAGTTTGTTCGTTTTCAATTAAGTGTTATAAATCCACTCAGAATACTTTTAATCACTCATAAATTAATTTTTTTTATTGATTGAGTCGATTATTTACACATATCGGGAAGTTCATGTAACTTGCCTCAAGACAAAATACCAATACCAACTAGTTAATTTTTTTTTTGAATATCGAAAATAATTGAGATTTGAATTTTAATTCTGGTTAAAGCTCACTTATATACTTTAAGTGAATAATTTTAACTTTCTAATTCAGTTTATATAATTCTTAAAAATATTAGATGATATTACAGAATTTTAGAACATTTTGTTACGGTACGGGAAGTTCCATCAATTTGCCTTAAGGCATGATGCCATGCACCACTAGTTTAAGACTACATTCATGTTTGGGTATGTGTAATTATAGATTATATAATATATCGCTTGATCGTCGCTAAATTCCATTTCCAGCGATGTCGTACGATGAATAAAGACTTCACCTATCGCTTTCTCAAGGCCGGCCGTCTTGTTGCGCGACGGCCGCGGCAATTGTATTGTATACGGTACATGCGGGCATGCGGGCGCGTTGTTAATGTTCAGTTTATGATCCGTCATCGCCGAAGAGCGGACGGTCGGCCGCGTGTCGCATAATTCGCGATTTAATCGGTCGATGAATAAATTTTGATTGATGATAATTTATTCATACCCGAAGTTAATAGGTGCAAAAGTGTTCGTGCCATGTTTCTGTATTTTCGTAGATCGACTTCAGGTAAACTAATTGTAGTTGAACTAATTCCATACATAAGAAAATATCATAAAATAATATCAAATTGAGTGGCATTCATAATTACCTCGTACTGAAATTGTCGTGAATCTGACGTCGAATATTATATTCAATCGATTTTTGTGTAGCTGGCATGTCGTGTTTGTGTTTGATGAAATGCGAGTGCATCGTGATACTGCGCAAGCTCTTATTGTTGTTACTTTCGCAACTAGTGGGGCGCATAGCATCTAGCCTTACGGCAAATTGCTAGAACTTCCCGTACCAAATATTATTATTTTTTTAAAAACGATTAACATTTTTGAAAAAAAATTACTTCGAAAAAAATAGATTTTTGAGAAACTAGGAATTTGACAAAAAATTACTTTTGAAAAAAAAATGTTTTCTTTATTTTGACATATTTTGGAAATTCTGAACTTTTTTCAAAGCAATCGTACTGCTTTAACTGCATAGAGACAAAATGTCAAAGTGCGTAAGTGCCGCGTCGCCGTCTAACGAATATCATTGGTACGGAACCCATAGGAATGCAAACAAAATGTATACTTATTGTTAAAGTCTCTATAAAATATCTGATAATTTGATGTGCACATGTCTAATGATCATTTTTGACCGCCAAATGGCTTTTTTTTTACTTTTTTCATTAGATCTCCGAAACCGCTAGACCTGCCTTTATTAAAATTTGATCAGTTCTTCATCTTGTCAATACAAGTAAAATGTTTTTTGAATTATTAAAATCGGACGCTCCGTTCTCTTAAAAACTGAGATACCGTTTTTGGCACTTTTTGCCCCGTATCTTCGGAACGGCTGGACCTGCCTTTGCCAAAAACTAATCAGCACGTCTCCTTATCAATATGAATCGAATGTTTTTTAAATTATTCAAATCGGTTGATCGATGTTCCCGAAATCGTCGACGAAATCCGCACATACATACACACACGCACACACACACACATACATCCATTTTTTCTAAGGTATGCCAAAATGTTCAGATAACTTTGAAACGTAAAGATATATAAATAAAAATTTTCATTTTCGATTTTTTTGCGATTACTATAACTTCCCCTACGGGAAGTTAATAATCTATAGAGTGGTGCATGGCATCGTGCCTTTAGGCAAATTGCTGAAACTTCCCGAACCGTAATTTAAATTTTTTAAAAGCTTTAAAATTTTTTGAAAGCTTTGAAAATATTCGATTTTTGAGAATTTTGAAATTTTAGTTTTTTGTACTTTTTTCTTTTAATTTAGATTTTTTTTTTCAAAACAATCGCACTGCGTTCCTGTTTTTGGTACACAAAATATCAAAGCGCGAAAGCGCTGCGTTGCAGTTATACGTTATAAAAAAAGTGTAACTAGTGGTGTATGGCATCGTGCCTTAAGGCAAATTGCAAAAATATTCGAGGAATATTAAATGTTTTCAAATAGATTATTATAAATACTGTAACTTATATATGTTTACAGAAAACTAAATATACAAGACTTAATCAATCGAATTTAAAATGAAGAACTTTGTCTAATATTTATAAGAATTATAAACTGAATTGCAAAGTTAAAATTATTTATTTTAGGTATATTAGTGAGCTTTTGAACTTTAGCTAGAAAAACAATTAAAATTTGATTTATTTTCGATATTAAAAAAAGATTTTTTTTGAAATTAAAAAAAAAAAATTTTTATTCAAAAGTAATGGTTTCGTCAACACAAGCAATTTTTTTTTTGAATCAGTCATATCGGATGCTTATTTCGCTCAAAAACTGCTAATTTTCGCACATTCAGCTCGGTATCTCCGAAACGGCGGGACTTGCCTTTGCCAAAAACTAATCACCTCTTCTACCCGTCATTACGAATTGAATGTTTTTTGGATCATTCAAATAGGATGCTCCGTTCTCTCAAAAACTCGATATCTATGTTGTGCACTCTTTGCACCGTATCTCCGAAACGGCTGGACCAGCCTTTCCCAAAAACCCTATCAATAGCAACCGAATGTTTTTTGAACCATTCAAATCGGTTGATCGGTGCGCCCGAAAACGTGAACGAAAAATTGTATCCATACATACGTACACACACACACATCTATTTTTTCTGATGTATGCCAAAATGTTCAAAAACCTTCAAAACGTGAAAAAATGTGAAAATTTTCAATTTCGATTTTTGGACGATTACAATAACTTACCCCACGGGAAGTTAACAAAATTTGTACTTATACTTATAATTTGTACTTTGTACGATTATACTTTCTGTGCATATGTTTGTCTAATGATTATTTTTGATCGCCAAATGGCTTTTTTTACTTTTTTTTGGATCTCCAAAACCGCTAGACCTGCCTTCCCAAAAACTTAATCAGTTCTTTATTTTGTTTTGTCACAAGTAAAATGATTTTTGAATGATTAAAATCGAACACTCCGTTCTCTCAAAAACTGAATCATTTAAATCGTCGACGAAAAATTGTATCCGCACGTACATATACATACACACTCTTATACATACACACACGCATATATGGTATGCCATTTTGGCACATATGGTATGCCAAAATATTCAGAAACCTTTGAAACGTGAAGATACATAATTTTCATATTGGATTTTTTGCGATCACTATAACTTACCTTACAGCAAGTTAAGCCTCTTTTCATTTCAATAGTTTAACCAATTTCTTAATTATGTGATCTTTTTGAAGAATAGTGAAACTGTTTTCCTTTTTTGATGTCTTGCAAACATATTTATAATATCTATAATTGTATAAATTAAATTAATTTGTTTACCATATTTTATTTCATCCATCTAATGTTCTAAAAATTTATTTTATTTAAGTGAGGACATCGAATGAAATAAGTTAGCTACATATGTAACATAGAGCGTGCATATGATTCGGCATAGATTCTAATTAGAATCGCTTAAACGCGCGGCCGAATTATATACTTCGATGATTTTCTATAACTCAATCACTTATAGTAGGCCTATAGTAAGTTATTTCAGTCTACGAAATCTATCTTCATATAAAGATTCATAAAAATCATTAAAAAAACTTTTCAACATTTAATTATGCGGTCGATATTTACCAAAAACTAACCAGCGCGATGTCCAACAATTAACAGTTTTTGAATTTTTAAAATCTACTCAAGATTGTGGACTAAAATGTGGACAATAAATTTTACACTTTTCTGCTAATTACAAAGAAACGGCTAGACCGATTTCTTCGCTATTTTCTTAACGCATATCGGGAAGTTCATGCAGTTTAGTTTGCCAAAAGGTAAAATACGACTTGCCACTAGTTTTTATTTCACTCAAATGTATTTTGATTTTATTTTATGCATGTGAAATGCGACTGGTAAGATTGAATTAATTAATGCAAGTTCATTTCAATGTTATCATTTAGTCGTTTAGTATTTGTAGCATTCGTAAACATAAAGAAGAGTGCGGTTTCATTTTTTTACATTGCGCAACTGTTGAAGAATTCCAGAATTAGATCCTTGTGTATATGAATAAAATAAAATACAATACACACTTCGTTCTGTCGATTGGGATCAATGAATTTCGTTAAAGGTCTACAAATATGTTACATCATTACGAAACTGTATGCTGTTTGAAGATTTGTATAGACCTGAAAATATTTTTGTAAATTATTACTTATGTTACTTGTGATAAAACATAGGTGATATAGGTTTTAAACAAAAATGAAATTTAATTTAATTTAATGAAAAAATCAGAGATATTCGTGAGTATGCGATTCTATACTCGATATAGTATGTAATATATAATATGTAGAGTCAAACCGAAAGGGAGATTACAGATTTTAGGGATTTCTCGAAGAGATAGTTTATTCAAAGCCCATTGAAAGGAATTATAAAACTGCTGAAGAGATCTATCTAGGATATGCTCGGCTAATAAACAGATCTTTACTAAAAAGATATATGGCATGTATTGATGCAGATGGGAATTAATTTATCAATTTGCATTAATTTAATTACTTCAATTTCAATTTTGATCATAGAAATATGTCTATTATCTACGATCAACATTTTACAGTTTAATTAAGAACCTACTAAGAGCTTATGCAAAACAAAAATATTTGAGTGCGTTAGCAACTATGGGACCATCATTTTTTAACTTCCCGTAGGGTAAGTTATTGTAATCGTCCAAATTGTCGAAATTGAACATTTTGGCATACCTCAAAAAAAATGGATGTGTGTGTGTGTATGTATGTATGGATACAATTTTCCAGTCACGTTTTAGGGCGCACGGATCAACCGATTTGAATGGTTCAAAAAACATTCGATACCTATTGATAGGGAGATGTGCTGATTAGTTTTTGGCAAAGGCAGGTCCAGCAGTTACGGACATAAAGAGCAAAGAGTTCAGAAAATAGAAATGGAGTTTTTGAGAGAACGGAGCATCCGATTTGAATGATCTAAAAAACATTCAATTTGTAATGATTAGGAGAAGAGACGATTAGTTTTTGGCAAATGCAGGCCCAGCCATTTCGAAGATACAGAACTAAATGTGCAAAAAAAAGCAGTTTTTGAGAGAACTAAGCGTCAGATTTGAATGATTCAAAGAACTCTCTGCTTGTCTTAACAAAATAATTGATTTTGGAAAAAAAATATTTTGCAGTTTTTTTTTTTTTTTTTTTTTGTATATCGAAACTAATTCAGATTTTATTTTTAATTCTGACTATAGTTCTAATATACTTTACAAACAATTTCAACTTTGCAATTCAGTTTATATAATTCTTATAAATATTAGACAATGTTACAATATTTATAATAATCTATTTGAAAACATTCAGTATTCCTCGAACATTTTGTTACGGTACGGGAAGTTCCAGCAATTTGCCTTAAGGCACGATGCCATAATTGCCTCAAGACAGAATTCCACTTACAGCTAGTTCAATTTTTTTTTTCAAAAAATTTTTTTTTTGTATATCGAAAATAATTCAGATTTTACTTTTAATTCTGACTAAAGTTCTAATATACTTTAAACAAATAATTTCAACTTTGCAATTCAGTTTATATAATTCTTATAAATATTAGACAATGTTACAATATTTATTTATAATAGTCTATTTGAAAACATTTAATATTCCTCGAATATTTCGTTATGATACGGGAAGTTCCAGCAATTTGCCTTAAGGCACGATGCCACACACCCCACTTATATAAAACGATCGTTTTATTTTTTATTCGATTTTTTTTCTATTATAAAATTTTAAAGTATTTTACCATCGTGATTAAATGCACCAACAAAAGTAATAACAATTAACCACAATAACCGAAAAATTGTCACAATTTTACCAAAGCTTAAAAGCTCATAAATTCCAAACAATGTGAGATAATTTTTTTCAGGACAGTTACGGTCAATACAATCGCCCCGTTTCGGCTTCATGTGCAGTTCTGCGACACCCTCCACACACACACACACACACACACACATATATATATATACCCATCTTCAGCGCATACAAATAATTTGAAGAAAAAACAAAAAAATAAGAAGAAGAGTTTTTTTTAAACTTTTTCATTTATTTTATTTTGTTTTTCTTCAAATTATTTGTATACACTGAAGATGGGTCAAATCAGGATCCGGAAATTCGTTTTTGCGCCTTCTAACGCGTGCGCCCGCATTTTTTTTATGCATCGCATGTAATGCAGAACGTATATATATATATATATATATATATATATATATATATATACAGTGGCGTCGGAACCGTGTGGGCTGGGTGGGCTTGAGCCCACCCATGTTTTTTGATGGGAAGCCTACCCATCAATCTCAAAATATGATACTGCCTATAAAAAAAGGAGCTCACACTGACTGTCTAAAAACAAAACAGCCCACCCATCAAAAATTTGCTTCCGACGCCACTGTATGTATATCATTCCTCCATCAGGTTGCGGGCGTACCCTCCGCCGTTATAGCGCCGTAGCAACTGAGGTCGAAGGTTCAAAAGCGCGACAGCAGCTACGATGTCTCCTGGACGAGCAACTGTCGGCCATAAAAGCAGCCGGGACTTGGAAGGCAGAACGCGTCATCACATCCCCGCAATCGATGAAGATCACCGTCAAACAGGGCAAACAGCCCTTGCTAAATTTCTGTGCCAACAATTACCTCGGATTGTCGGTGAGATATCAAGAAATTTGTTTTTGAACATATATTGCTTATAAGACTTGTTCCTTGGAAAGCCTTTTTTGCATTATCTTACTATTTGCTGACATGTAATTCAAATTGGTTAAAATTAAAATAAATGAAATATGATGCAATACCGAATGAAAAACTCAAATATACTTAATGCATATTTATTAATATAGTATGGTAAAAAATATAACAGGTTTTTGGTTCAGGTAAACGTGTATGTGTTTCACGTTTTTTATATTTTACATTAATTTTGTGATAACTTGTTAGCCAAAGACTGGTGTTATATGTAATATATATATACCAATTATATATTGCACCTTAATTTACAATAAGTACGAACTATTGATTTATTTATTGCAATTCGACATAATTATTTTGTCAACATAACATCAAATTTCTTAATAATAAGTACGAATAGAAACGATCTTTGACGTTTAAGTTTCAAGTTCACAAAACTGCAAAAACTAGTAATTACCACATATTTATAAACGAACATTAAGCCATTCTTAATATAACCAATGCAAAAAAGTTCGAAATTAACGTGGTTGCAACCAAATTCAATATTTCAATTCAAATATTTTGAACTAATTATTATAATTTTCCATTAGAATTTCCAGTTCGAGATTTTTTTTAATGACCCTTAAAATATCTAAAACTTAAGTTTAAATCAACATCATTTAAACTTTGTTTTTTTTTTTAAGTAAAACTTCTTTAGGCGCGACTAGGGTGTAAAACCGTACAAATGCAACGGAAGTGCATTACGGCCGAACTGTACGTTATTCGCTCTTGATGAAATCATTTAAATACGGGTCGATTGTGATTATTCGTCGTGTATGTGAATAGAGATCTGTCGTTGTATGCGTAACGGCATCAACGTTGTATGCGCACCGATATCAACGATATAGATAAATAAACATTTTAAAGTTACATCGTAGTTACAAATCTTTATTTAATGAAAAATGCCTGAATCAGAAGAATATTTTACCCTGTTCCTTAAAAATAATAAAACAAATTATTCATTTGGGCCGTGTACTAAACGTAAGTTTATTGATTAGAAACTATTTCTATATTATTCGTAGTTTCTGTAAATCTTTGAAGTTATTAAAATGGAAAATGAATCAAAGAATGAGATTATATCACCAGCGAAAAAGTAAAAAAAAATGCAAGCAGTCAATGAATATATGTTAATTTTGATTACATGAAGTTCTTTAAGCGTTGTTTAACATAATCCACTGTATGAACGACTATTATAGAATTTATTAATCAGCAATTACTTCATTTCTCTAATGAAGGTTCATTTCTAAATGCTAATTACAATGACAAACCGATCATGTCATATTTGAAGTATGACTTTAATTACACTATTGTTTTTAAATATTATACATATTTTTAATGCTATTATAAATATATAATTTATCATAAGATAAATGTGTATAATGGTTGACACTAATAAATGTGTGTATCACGAGTTTTACCATGTTACTAATAAACATTATTCAAAATTGTTATATGATATATTTATTTTTACTTAAATGCCATCTTGTACAGTAGCAAATAAGTATTACTTCAATCGAGTGTGAACCTTACGCGCACTCTTTTTTTTAAAATAATCTTGTATCGTAAAATAAGAGTTGAAAATAAAATCTTCCTAATTGTAAATCTATTGTCCAATTTTCAGAACAATCCAGAATTAGTTAATGCTAGTAAAAAAAGTTTGGACGATTATGGAGCAGGTCTGTCTTCCGTAAGATTTATATGTGGAACACAAAATATTCATAAGGTAAATGTTATGATCTGAATCCTAGAAATGAATGTTTTAGAATTTTATACTAAATTATCGAGTTTTTACGAAAAAATATGACCTATTATTTTTAATTGTAGGAGCTAGAGCAAAAAATATCAAAGTTTCACGGTAGACCTGATACAATACTGTATCCTTCTTGTTTTGATGCCAATGGAGGTCTATTTGAAGTGTTGCTCTCTCCTGAAGATGCAGTTTTCAGCGATGAACTGAATCATGCATCCATAATTGATGGAATTCGGTTGTGCAAAGCTAAGAAGTATCGATATAAACATCGAGACATGAGTGGCAAGTAAATTTTAGAATTGTCTATGTTTCACATTATTCAAATTTCTGAATACTAATTACACCAATTTATGTATTATATATTTTTAATTTAGAACTAGAGAAACAATTACAAGAGGCAGGGTCGTGTAGGCAAAGATTGATTGTGACAGATGGAGTATTTTCCATGGACGGAACTGTAGCACCTCTTCCTGAAATTTGCGATCTTGCAGATCGTTATAATGCTTTGGTGTTCATTGATGAATGTCATGCCACTGGATTTTTTGGAAAAACTGGCAGGTATTAATTGATGTTATTTTATAAATGATTTAAAATACAATAGCCACGTAATACTATCCTTGCCTTATTTGAAAAAATAAGAATAAAGAAGAAACCACTATATTTAAATTTGAGCTAGAAAATCAGATTTTCAAAAAAATGTATGTGTGTGTATGCGAATCAATTTTGAATCTTTCGTTGAAGATTTGCGAAACTACTGAACCTATTTTAACAATTTAAAAACCGTTTAATGAAAGTTTACAAACTTTGAGAAAGATACGAAATTCAGACGTTGGGAATCATGCTGATTAGTTTTAGAGATCGGCCAGGCCATTTATTCGTATTTTTTTTTTTGACGAATTTGTTGAAACTTTGTTTGATGATAGATATATCTGGGTAAACCAATATAGCAAGGTAAGAATATATTTTTAGAACACGAGGTAGAATGAGCTAAAATGTGTAAAAGAAATGAATAATAAATAAATCTGAAAATTGGAAATCATATTGATTATTTTTAGTGAAAACAGAAATTTTATTTTTGAAGCGAACAGTTAAAGATTTTACTTAAATAGCTGAATCTCAACTCATATTGATTAAGTTGATAATTTACATTTATCGGGAAATGTATGCAACTTGCGTTAACGTAAAATGTCACGTACATTTAGTTATTATTTTTAATGGCACAATTAGCAAAATCTCTTGTCCATTATTATTAAATAAGATAATGAAACTATATAAACTTTAACCACAAGAAATGTAAAAAAAAATCTTGAATAATTTAAATATATGCTTCAAGTGAATCTTATAAGATTTTAATGTGAAACCCAGAATAAAACGAATTCATAGGTCAAAAACCATCCAATTTATTATATATATATATATATATATATATATATATTTAATATAAATTTATTTTTTAGAGGCACAGAGGAATACTATGAATTAAATGGACGTGTAGATATAATAAACAGTACCTTAGGGAAGGCCTTAGGCGGGGCTTCCGGTGGATATACGACAGGGCCGGCTGAATTAATTCAACTGCTCAGACAACGTGCGAGGCCGTACCTGTTCTCGAATTCACTTCCCCCACCAGTAGTTGCTGCAGCTTCTAAGGTATATACAAACAAAAAGCACAAATAACAAAGATCCTATGTGGAAACAATATGTAAATGTCTTACCTATAATTGTTTTTTAAATTTTTTTTGCTGATCCATTAATTTTAATTTGCTGGAATTAATTGCTTTTATATGTCTAAAAATCATTAATCAATGAATAAGTCCAATATAAATATTTTATATATCAACTTAGTTTTTATATCGCAATTGAAAAAATAAAGTAAAAATTATGTAGAAAAAAAAATATAAATGAGTATTAACAGATCATTAATATAAATTATTTTATCTGATAGGCAATGGATTTGCTGTTAACGTCAAGTGACTTATGTGAAAAAGTAAAGACAAACACCCAAAGATTCCGAGAGCAAATGACAAAAGCTGGATTCACACTAAGCGGTAAAGATCATCCCATTTCACCAGTGATGCTTGGTGATGCTAAACTTGCTGCCGATTTTGCTGATGAAATGCTCGGTAATATATATAATTTTGAATTACATTTGTGCATCCACAAAATGCACAGTTTATTGCAGAAAAAAAAATCTTTAGTTGTTACACTATAAAAGATATGAATTAATAATGTAAAGGACTATGTTCGATTTTTGAACGATGAAAAGATAAAGATATTGTTAGGTTGAAGTAAGTTTTATCAGATAATCAAAGATATTTTTTTCATGGAACGAAATAATTTTGTTCTGTAATGTATTGCTGATTTTGATTGATAACGTTTTCTTATCTTTCAAGTAGCATCATAATCCGACGTTCATAAAACTTCTGGATTTTATTAACAAAAAATTCGGTACAATTTGACACCATCATCATATGGTGGATATGGAAAAACATTTAAATCAGGCTCCAATAATTTTTGTCGAATGGCCAAGGATGTGAGTGGCAATGTGTTGTCATGGTGGAATACAACACATGTTTAATTTGCCAATCCGGACCATTTTTCTTCAACTGCATTGTTTACTTTTGTTAGTTAATCAATGTAGACATCAGAATTGATGGTTTGGGTGTGTGGTTAGAGTTCAAAGTCGACAATTCCATTGTAATTCTACAAAAATTAACCCATTAAAATAAAAAACCCATTTTTCATTACCACTTATCAGACAGCAAATTACAGCTGCTAATGCATTGAATTAATCATGTTTCTTTCAGTTTGTAAGTAACCCACATATTGTGTTTATAAACATAGTTAAACTATTTCAGCAAACTTAAAAATTAAATGAAGCCTTCTTTAGGTTCAAGCCGCACTTACTTCTTAGTTGCCAACTACTTAGTAGCTTAGCAAAACATATTGTTGCCAATGTAAACTACTTTCTATATGGCCAAGCTACTTATATGCCATTACTACTTGAGTAATTGAAGTAGCTTTTTGTTTATTTTCCTTTCATTGTTTAAGTGGATGATCCCTTATTTTAATTGCAGTCAAAGGAGTGTATGTGATAGGCTTCAGCTACCCAGTAGTACCTATTGGCAAGGCAAGAATAAGGGTACAAATTAGTGCAGCTCACAGCACAGAAGATATCGATAAGGTTGTGCAGGCATTTATAGAAACCGGAAAGAAATTTGGTGTGATATAGAGAAGACAACTGCTCGACTGAAATATATGTGAATAAAATAAATAATGAATGATATTTTGAATAAACATTGCTTTTATATGAAATATAGTTTATTATTCATTTACGGTTCAGATATAAATGCAACCAATTATAAATTTTACAAGTTTTAATTTTACATAACTTAAATAAGGAAAACTATAAAACTATTGAGAAAAATTTAGCTATGAAATTAAACTCTTAAATTATTGATATTACTTGAAGTTTTTAATTGGTCATTTGAGAATACATCTTAAAGTAATTACATTAATTTAACATTACAATATACATCAGTTTTTTTGAGTTATCCATTGAATAACACATATTCGATTAATCAACTTTAATAATTTAATATTATCGTAAATAATATCAATACAAATAATGTACAATACATTTACGTGCTTCAGATTTTTTCTCGCATAATTCTAATATATTAAGGGCAGGGCTGCCAGAGTCGAACCGGAACTGGTTGCTTTTGGTTCAGAGTAGTAAGTACAGATATATATATATATATATATATATATATATGTATATATATATAGTAGTATATGTATTACATATACTACCAACAATAAGAATAGAAGACATTTACCATGTTGATAATTCTTGACAGCCCTATATTGATAGTGCATATTAATTTAAGCAAGCATTCACGAACTGATGCCCAGTTCCTTTAAAGCAGCATTTATATGCTGTTGTAAACCTGCGTCTTCTGGTAAACTGCTGTGTTTATATCCAGTTAGAAAATAACATGTTCCTGAAATGCTAGAAGGCAGTTCTTTAGGCAGGCAAGAACGATCTCGTGGGGTCAATTCGAATCCTGGCATCTTTACAAGATCCCTGGAAAGCATACACAAAATATGAAAGTAAAGTATTTTAGTTGATTTCATACATTATGTTTATACATTTGTTTAAATGGAATCTTTAGTATGCATTTAGCATTGTCTGCAGGAATCAATAAGGTACGTATATACGGCTTAATCGTAAAAAAGCACATTTTTGAAAAACGTAAAAATACCTATTCTAATAAAAAAAATGCATCTTCAATTATTGTTTATCATAAGCCAACTTTAATTTAAATGCACTAAATATATAGTATTATTTACTTAGGGAGTACGACTTAGGCAACGTTATCTAATACTTTATAACCGCCGATAAACTTGGACAAGTTAATTATAATTTATATATATACATAATACAATATACAACTTCCAATACCTCTGTGTTGTCGGGCTGACATTGATTTGTAAAGGCTCACTTCCCGACTCGAATTTGTTTGCGATCGTCACGTTATGCCCGAAAAGGCAATAACGTGGCATTTTCTTTCCAACAACACCCGCCAAAACAGTTCCAGTATGTAAACCAATCCGCATCTAAAATTATTAGGTACTTAAATTACATTATAAATAAATAAATAAAATACTGATTTTGGTTTTGTACCACATACTTCTTGTACTAGCAAAAATCAGGTCATTTTTCGGTTTTTAATTTTTTTACTCAAATTTCTTCAGTAAAAAAAATATCAAGTATTTTACCATTTTACAATACTGATTAAATTCGCCAACTTTTGATAAAACTTGCCCACACACTTACATTTATTTTAAAAGAGGGCTTCTCAAAGTCGACCGATTTTTTTAATTTTAAATTCATATTTCAACAAAAAGTCTTAATTCTTGGAAACTTGGAGCAATTGTGTTATTATATTGTTTTTGATTTTGGTCCTTTAAATGTTATTCATGGTTACGATTCCAAAGTTTAATAAATAAACAAAATTAGTAAAAATAATAACAAAAAATTGTCATAATTTCACAAAAGCTCTAGGTTGCACTTAAAAGCTCATCATTTCCAAACAATGTGGGATATAGTTTTTCTAATTTTTTTAGAACAGTTAAGGTAAATACTATCACCTTGTTTCGGCTTGACGTCAAAGTCTGGGACACCCTGTATATATATATATATATATATATATATATAAACTAGCAAACCCGACAAACTCCGTTTCGCCACCAGATGGTTTCGTGAGAAAGATAAAGAAATTTTTTGTTTGTTGTATATTTGAAAAGGAAAAATTTGATTTTATTGCACAAAAGTAATGAATTTATTTTGATTACAAAAATGGAGTGTTTTTCAGTTGAACTTCTCTAAGTAAATGAAAGTGAATCCGCCAATTATCCGTTTCATTGAAGTGCTCTTTGGTAAACCACATTTTTTGTTTATATATATATATATATATATATATATATATATCTTACTCTTACCCTTATAGCTTGTCCATCGTGTGTCTGATGTTTTGAGCACGTTTCGATCATGGTCAATGCCATCCAAGCAATCTGTTGAGCGTGGGTTGCACTCGGCTTATGTAATCCACTAGCGACGCAATAAGCATCTCCTATCGTTTCTACCTAATACAAAATAAAATAAAATAATGTAAGCTTTATAACTAGACACACGAAAAATATACTAAATTGATATACTCATTAAGCATATTTTGTATTTTGGGGAAGCAAGGAGCTATTTGTAACAGGGTAACTAGTTTAGCAGACGTTTTTCAGTAGGATTCTAAACGATATTTAATTTTTTTCGTCCACAGCATATGTAAACCGCCCTGCATTGTATTGTCATAGCTACTATCACGCAGGCCGACGCTGTAAACAGAATTGTGCAAATGTGTCATTTTTGACATGTAATATAAATTTGATCTATCATAAAATCTCGGTTTGCGTTATTAGCATCGACTAATTTTAAATTTCATGTATCTCATTTTGTTTCAAATTTATCAGTCTTTCATAATGTGTAATAGTTTTTGTGATTGCTAAATTGTTTAAATAGTTATCTTGATTAATGTGAATAATAACACTTGGGGTTTGTTGTCGAACTCGACCGATCGTCACACAAAACTGATGAATGGTAGTCTTCATCGAGTTACATTGAATGATTTTTAAGCTTTTTGAGTTTTTAGTAAACATCAATCCAAAGTCAAAAATCGGCTTACATACACCCACACGCGCACACATAATTTTTTCGAATTTGGTCTCATTCGATTCAGAATGACTTTGAACTTTGCAAAACATATAATTAGCAAATCGAATTTTCTCGCGTAAACAAACTTTTCCTTCGGTTAAATAAATAAAAATAAATGTCGATATGTCAATGTTCATTCAACATCGAAACAATATTCATTAATAACGTGAGAATAATATTCAATAGTTGATGTTAAAAAATGTTACATCAATATTTATATTTCAATTTGATTAGAACAATATTGCGTTGCGTACTCAGTTCGATATAGCTCAATCGATGCGAGACCAACGTTGGCCCGATCATTGAAGAACCGACGTTCGTCAATATTCGGACAATATCGACAACTCATCGGCAATCTAGGCCACATATTTTGAAGATAATTCTATGTTGGCCCAACATAGAACAGAGGTTGATTTCTAGATGGGTTTTTGCTACAGTAGATGTTACAACTCGCCCCAAACACGGGGAAAGTTGCCCTTTTTTACATTGGTTAATTGTAAAATAATAAAAAATAGTGGAATTATTGTTACTTGATTCGGCAGAGGAATGGTTACAGCAACTATTTATCGTATAAATAAAATCAATCTTGAGATTCAAAATATATTAAATAAAAAGAGAACGGTTACAATAAGCCCCTAGGTGACCTATTAGTTTTATGAATCATTGACTTTTATTTATTTACCAAACCTATATCGATCTAGATATAAATCTTATAATTTTCATACTACTCGTCTCATATAAATACTAGTTTCATTTAATAATCAGCAAACCTTATAAACATCCAAATTTCCACAAATTATATCAAACTGGTTGTAAAGGCTCTGCAACATAGCAATAACCATCATCGGGGTCGCCGTGGAGCAAATCGACGTAAAGCCAACTATATCGCTGAACAACATTGAAACGTTGTCGTGCGTTTTTGCTTCAATCGCTTCACCTTTAAATATTATAATTAAAGTTTGTTAAAACAAAATTACGTAAACAGTATAAGACTAATGTAATTACCACCATTTGCCTTTGAACAAGCTTATTACTAATAATAGTCGCATAGATACTAAGTTATTAGCTACACGATATAAAAATTGACTTCTTCAAAGAAAAATAATGCAATATAAAAAATTTCAAACGACTAAAACCTGTTTAAACGATAAAATCAATTGATTGAATTAGCAATTTCAATCTTCAAAAAATGCTGTATTATTGTTTAGCAATGAGTAAAATTTTTACATAAATATATAAGATTTAAAATTAAAAACAAATATCTAATATCAACATTTCACTTTGTTGAATCTGTTTCCAAATTGAAAGAAACCGATACAGCATTTTATTGAAAGGAAGTAAAAATTTCTTTTGGTAATTTATTGCGAGCTTTTACTTTTACTCAAAATAATATTTGTAAACTAACTAATATTTATAAAAGTGCCAAAACTTATCCAAAGTCGAAAAGTAAACTTTCTAGGTTGACAAACAGTTAACGAATTCACAAAAATTCATAAGAAAATGACACAATAGTTCCGGGACATGGTAAAACTTTATTATAATGATGCACATTCCAAATGATTTGGTAATTTTCAATAAAATAAAACACAACGCTTTTCACTACGTTTTGAAATTTAATTGCAAAACTTACCGAGCCAAAGTTTTTTTGCTATATCAGGAGGAAAGATTAAATGTAATAAGCACACATTTTTCTCTCGTTCTTTGTCTACTGCTAAATTTGCTTCTTCTATTGAGTTTTTCAATTTGTCCATACGTCTTCTGAGACCATCCTGGAAACATTATTATTAAAACAATGTACAAAGCTAATCACTAAAGATTTAGCAGTAAAAAATATTTGATAATTTTTTTATAATAGGCAAATTGATAGAAAATTATTAGGTTACTTGGAAAAATTTTTGCTTCCTTAAAACCTTTGTATAATCATAATTTCAATCAATTGAAACCACAGATAAAACCCTTTTAATCAATTACCTGAGCTCGAGCTTGTTCTCCTACTAATATAACATCTCTTGTAGCGTCATGAAGTGGAATATCTGATAAAAACAAACCGCGACCTGTTAAACCTTCTAATCCGTTCAAGAATGGTGAACCAGCAAACATCAAGCAATCACTTTCTGGACAAAACACCATCTGGCCTTTCAGCTCTAATCCCTGGAAAAAATGTGATAATTAAGAAAAACAAAGCGTACGTTCGCACCTTTTTAGTAGAACTATCCAAAATTCGATCGTACATAAATACAGAAATCTTTTAATTATTTATCATAATGTGATCAGTTACAACGAACCATAACAGGAAATTGTCCACGCCCGGGTGGTGGTTCCAAGGCAACTACAAATGGCGTATTGGTCCGTTTTTTAATTTCCTGAAAATTCATCGCTAGTCCGCAAGGTCGAACAAAACGAAAATAATTTTCGGCTCTTCGACCAGCTCGAATGACATCTGCTCCAAAAACTCTCGCAAAACCAGCACCTGGGAAAAATAAAATATGTACACTTTTTGAAGTAAGTAAACAAATCTATTATATAAGAACTTACCCAGTTGTACCAGTTCCAATTTTCTATCCATAATGAAATGCCAGGGAAACGCTTTGCAGAAACTTGCGACTCCAATCTGCAGATCATTAGCATTTGTAGACAGCTTTCTCATATGGACACTTTCAGGACAAATATCATCGATGATAAGTTTTTTCTGCACACTTTCGCTATCCTCTGTAATCGTGTATCTGAAGTTCAAAAACAAACCGGTATCCTTTATTTGTAATTAATCAATCAGTTCTAAAGAACTCGTAATATTAATTTTATGAATATTGTGTAATCATTTACATTCAAACAAACCTGAACGTTCTAGGATCTTCAGAAGTTGGATGCATCTGTACTTCCACTTTCGTGTTGTAAAGTAAATAGGCAACAGCGCGAAGACACCCCACCAGTAAAGAAGCCACGGTAGGTCGATCTGTGGTAAATAGCAGTTCACCAGGACCTGCACAAACAAAACCCGCATCTGTCTGGTCAGACTGCGTCTTTCCCTGAAATAATTACGCATAACAACGGTTGGCGACATAAGTGATAGAAATAATAGATAATGTCAAATATATTATTATAAAATATAAATTTCGTATAGTTATTAAGTTGTTTTTATTGCAATTTAAGAATTATATGTTTATTTACAATCATCGTTCTTCAACCTACCTGCTGAAGTTGCAAGACGTCATGCACACCGTCTAATGTTGCCAAAAATCCCCGAAGATCAGGCCCGAGAGCTTTCAGGGCGCGTTCGGTTACTCTATTTCTGCATGCTATTGTTATAATTTCTTCTCCTATCATGTATATAAATTGGTCCCCTTCTATGCCTGAATACAAAGACATTTTTCAAACTTTGTTGAAGTACTCGTAATTTACTTTCGGCTAAAGCAATATTACATAAAATAAATTACTGCCAAATACTGTATGTAGGCTAAGGTTTCCGATGTAACAAAAAATAATTCTTATCAGCACAATATTAATATTTTATATTATGATAAATATATTAGCAACATCTAGCAAAAATTAGTAGAAAGAATTGTAATTTTATACAAAAAATATGATAACTAATCAATAAATTTAATTTTATATATCATCTTCAAGACCTATATAAAGATATTGTTCTTGGATTGTTGATATTACTCTTGTATTAAAATGTTCTTAAAAATCAGCTCAATTTATATAATAATCAAAGATCGTAAGAAATAATATAATATGTTTGATTAAAATATGTATAAATAATAATAATTATGATACCGATAAAAATAAAAGTCACATAGAAATCCACTTTCTTATTAGTCTACTAGAAACTGACGTGGATCTAGAGAGAATCTTTCCTAATTTGAATAAAAAAGTACATTAGTTAGTATTTAAATAATATTAAAATAATGCCTAGATCCAATTTTCTTTTAATAAAGATTTCTAAAAATACTAATCTATGAGTACAAAGAAAATGCAAATCTTTTTAGATATGTTTCTAATAAATATAGATACCTCAGTATTTTAAAAACTTGGTAGTGTGAACTCATTTCGATAAAAAATAATATTTAGGCATTTAAGTAACAACAAACGGCTATAAAATATCATTTCATAATCAAGATATTCTTATCACATTTACTATTTTAACCTTTTCGACTCGCATGCCGCCGCTCCTGCGGCAAAATGCATACAAATCTTGCAATTCGCGAGTGGAAAGGGTTAATATCCCTATTTATTGTTTAAAAAAAGTATTATCCTATAAATAAATACCTTCTTCACTGGAAACAGCTATGCGAACATCTTCCAAATAATCATAATTTGGATTATTATCCACATCTTTTGGTAACTTGTCGCTAAAAATATAATTAATGCAGAATAAATATCATTCAAAATATATAGAAATATATATTTAAATAAAAATATCATACTCACAGAAATCTTGTAAAATTGTTATTTTTTAGCAACAATGATTCAACGGCTTCTTGCAGTTTTTCATTCTGTAATTCAATTTAAATCATGTCACATGTATAATTTCTTTCAAAACATTTTACAATTGTGAAACGTTTAAACTGGTTAGTTTATTTTTAAAATATACAAGCATTAAATTATTTATTCAAGAAAAATAATATAAATTGGGTCGATTAAAAATTATTTATATAGTTCTGTGTTTAAATATTGGTGGTTACTTTAAAAGATGTTTTTCGACATTTTGATGAATATTGCAGCAAAATTATCAATATATAACATATTATCCAATTTTAATTTGATTCCCAACATACATTATTTTCACGTAATTTGGTGGTAAACACCAAAAAACACAGAAATTAATTTAAGTAGGTACAAAAATTAGCATAAAATTGAATCATCCACATTCTCATCCATAACCTCAATTATTATTATTTATATACTTCATACTATATTTAATCATTTTCAAGGTCTCTATATTTATTTGAACGCCATTTTACAATGAATGTATTAATCTAGTAACAATTCATTAGCATCTACAAACACATTTTTAACTTTCCGTAGGGTAAGTTATTGCAATCGTCCAAAAATCGAAATTGAAAATTTTTGCATATCTTCATGTTTAGCATATCTTAGAAAAAGTGGATGGCGTATGTTTACAATTTTTCGTCAACGTTTTCGGGTGCACAGATCAACCGATTTGATTGGTTTAAAAAACATTCGATTCTTATTGATAGGGAGATGTGATAATTGGCTTTTGTCAAAGGCAGGTCTGGCCGTTTTCGAGATATGGAGCAAAAAGTGCAGAAAATATAAATCGAGTTTTTGAAAGAATGGAGCATCCGATTTGAATATTTCAAAAAATATTGCTTGTGTTGACGAAACAATTGCTTTTGGAAAATATTTTTTTTTGTTTTTTATTTCAAAATTATTTTTTTCCATTTTTTTTGTATATCAAAAATAATTCGGATTTTAATTTTAATTCTAGCTAAAATTCTAAAGCTTACTTATATACTTTAAATAAATAGTTTTAACTTTGCAATTCAGTTTATATAATTCTTATAAATAGTAGACAATGTCCTTCATTTTAAATCCGGTTGATTAAGTTTTGTTTATTTACTTTTTTGTAATACATATATAAACGCCATTGTCCAATTCATAAGCTCTTATATTTTGTATATAAAATAAAAATAATGAAAATTACAGTCTTTAAAATAAAGTGTTTGAAAACATTTAATATCCCTCGAATTTTTCGTTACGATACGGGAAGTACCAGCAATTTGCCTTAAGGCACGATCACATACACCACTAGTTATGTTACCCATTAATTATTGAAATTAATGCGTAATATACATGCTATTTTACTTATAATATATACTGTTTAAAATTGATAATGAACAATATGCTAAAATTATCATCAAAATCCAGAATTCGCCTGTGATTGAAGATATGATTGAATTCAAAATATATTTTTATTAAAGTTAATGTTTATTCGAGTCAAGAACCAATATGAAAACAAAATTACTCAATAGTTTAAATACCTCTATAAAATATATATACTTTATAATACATTCGTCATGGAAAATGGCAGAATTTTGTGTATTAACAAGTATACTCGTCCCGAACATTGACTATTTAAATTGAAATTTTGCAGAAAAATAAAATATAATCTCAAATTTCAAGACGTTTGAAATATTTCGAGGTTACGCCGATATAAAATAAGTAGTTGTAAGTGGCATTTTACCTGAAGCAAGTTGTATGAACTTTCCTATATGCTCGATTTGCAATTCATATATTTTAGACAAATCTATAGTACATGTAATTGCATTAATTAATTTTTTTTGTAAAATGATTTCTTGCACACGGTTTGTACAAAAAAAAGGTTTTTTGAATTCATTAAATCAGATGATCTGTTCTCTCAAATACTGCATGACCATTTTTACACCTTTTGCGCTCCATTCCTCCGAAACGGTTCCATACTTTCGAAACGTGCCTTTTGCAAAAACAACTCACAATCGAGTACAAACCGAATGTTTTCTCAATCATACAAATCGGTTAATCATCATATCAATCATATAAATGAACTTCAAAATGAAAAAAAAAACAACAACCCTAAAAAATGGACCCAAAAACAAAAAAAAGACACAAACTATGTATACATTATTAAAATATCTGATAATTTGATGTGCATAGGTCTAATAAACATTTTTGACCGCCAAATGGCGTTTTTTATTATTTATTGACAGTCCATAACCGCTGGACCTACCTTTCCAAAAATTTCTACAGTTCTTCGTTTAGTCAATATAAATAAAATGTTTTTTTAATTATTCAAATCGGACGCTCTGTTCTCTCAAAAACTGAGTTACGACTTTTGGTTCTAATTGTCTCGTATCTTCGAAACGGCTAGACCTGCCTTTGCCAAAAATTAATCAGCACGTCTCCTTATCAATACAAATCGATTTTTTTAGATTATTCAAATTCGGTTGATCCGTGCTCCCGAAATTGTTAACAAAAATTTGCATCCGCACACGCGCACACACGCATACACACACATATGCATCCATATTGTCTAATAAGGTATGCCAAAACATTCAGAAACCTCTGAAACGTAAAGAATATATAAACGTAAAGATATATAAAAAAAATCATTTTAGTTATAGCGATTACTATAACTAACCCTACGGAAATTTAGAAATTCCAATTATATAATGCCTATGCCAAATCTAACAAATTTGGTCTTTTCGTCTTGTGGGGATGTGTGTAGAAAGCAAGTCTTTCGCAAATTAATTCACATGGTTTTCAAGTCTTGTAATTTCATACTACTAATCTAGTAACATTAGTAAAATTCAACCCTTATGATGTATCAAAAGTCAATAAATAAAAAAAACTAGTGGGGTGTATGGCATCGTGCCTTAAGGCAAATTGCTGGAACTTCCCGTACCGTAACGAAATGTTCGACGAATACTGAATGTTTTCAAATAGATTATTATTAATATTGTAACACTGTCTAATATTTATAAAAATTATATAAACCGAATTGCAAAGTTGAAATTATTTGTTTAAACTAAAGTATATTAGAACTATAGTCAGAATTAAAAATAAATTTTGAATTATTTTCGATATACAAAAAAACTTTTTTTTGAAAAAAAAGTTGAAACAAATTTTTTTTTCCAAAATCAATTATTTTGTTAAGACAAGCAGAAAGTTCTTTGAATCATTTAAATCGGACGCTTAGTTCTCTCAAAAACTGCCATTTTTGCACATTTAGCTCTTCAAAATGGCTGGGCCTGCTTTTGCCAAAAACTAATGAACACTTCTCCCAATCATTACCAATTGAATGTTTTTTAGATCATTCAAATCGGATGCTCCGTTCTCTAAAATAACCGGATTTCTATTGTCTGCACTCTTTGCTCTTTATCACCGTAATTTCTGGACCTGTCTTTGTCAAAAACTAATCAGCTCATCTCCCTATCAATAGGAATCGAATGTTTTTTGAACCATTCAAATCGGTTGATCCGTGCGCCCAAAAACGTGACTGAAAATTTGTATCCATACATACATACACACTCACACACACACACACATCCATTTTTTCTGAGGTATGCCAAAATGTTCAGAAACCTTTAAAACGTCGAGAAATGTAAAAGTTTTTAATTTCGATTTTCGGCCCATTACAATAACTTACCGGGAAGTTAAAAAAAAATTCAACTCACCGCTGGCGACGTGAGCAATTGAATCGCGTCGCTCAAATGCTTCAGGTTGAGGGTGTCCTCCGGCACGGCGACCTCGTTGTCGATAGCACTGCTCGGCTGCACGGAACTCTGGCGCTGCAGGGGAGCCGCTTTTCCAGATGCCGCTGTCGGGCCCTGGCTGGACATGCGCCGGAACGGACACGACATGCTGGAGATAAACAGACAAACAACAAATTAGACTAGCTGTAAGTGGAATTCTGTCTTAAGGCAATTAGGGCATCGTGCCTTAAGGCAAATTGCTGAAACTTCCCGTACCGCAATTCAAAATTCGAGTAATTAAAAATAATCAATAATAATAATCAATAAAAGTTGATCAATGATTTGAAACTTTTAATAGAATTTCGAACCGATTAGAATAATTCGCTTACTCAAAAACGGTATGATCATTTTTTGCACCCTCTGCTCCAACAAACTCGTACTAAAATGACAGCGCGACCACGCTTCGTATCTGTTCTAGATACAAAATATCAATACGCGATAGCGCGCGTAGCACTAAAACGATATAATATTTGTATTTATTATTAAAATTTATATAAATTATCTGATACTCTGATGTGCATATGTCTAATGTTTATTTTTGACCGCCAAATAGCTCATTTTTTTACTTTTTCCTCCATATCTCCAAAGTCATTAGACCTGCCTTTCCAAAAATTTGAACAGTTCTTCATTTAGTCAATACAAATAAAATGTTTTTTGAATTATTCAAATCGGACGCTCCGTTCTCTTAAAAACTGAGTTACCGTTTTTGGCACTTTTTGCCCCATATCTTCGGAACGGCTAGATCCGCCAAAAACTAATCAGCACGTCTCCTTATCAATACGAATCAAATATTTTTTTGAATTATTCAAATCGCTTCATCCGTGTTCCCGAAATCGTCGAGGAAAATTTGTATCCGAACAAACACACATACACGCACACACACACACACATACATCCATTTTTTCTAAGGTATGCCAAAATGTTTAGAAGGTTTCAAAACGTAAAGATATATAAAAATTTTCATTTTCGATTTTTTTGCGATTACTATAACTTGCCCTACGGAAAGTTAAAAAAAAAACATTTGGCGGTCAAAACTGATAATTAGACATATGCACATCAAATTATCAGATATTTTATAGAGATTTTAATAATACATATAAATTTTGTTTACATTTCTACGGGTTTCGTATTATCGTTTGTCCGTTAGACTGCGACGCGGCGCTTACGCGCTTCTCTCTATGCAGCTAAAGCAGCGCGATTGCTTTAAAAAAAATTTCAAAATATTTCAAAATATGAGTTTTAAAAAAAAGTTTAATCTTTCATAAAAAAAATAATTTTTGGTACGGAAAGTTCCAGCAATTAGCCTTAAGGCACAATGCCATGCACCAATAGTCTTAATTTACAGTTTTATTTAATATTAAACGAATAAATAGTTCAACACAGAAAGAAGTATAAGCCACACAAGGTTAGCAGTAATTGTATAAAGACAAATTTAAGTTAATTTTTTTTAACATTTATTCACGTAGACACGGCTTGAACGATTATTGCCAGACATTAATCAACATGATTTCCGGCTGATATCTTTCGAACAATTTTGAATTTTGAAAATTGTTTTTTTTTTGAAAACGTGGACAATTGTTTTTGCACTTTTTTGTTAACCCTGAAGATCGTCTCACAAAACTAATTATCGCAAGTTCTTACCGAGTTTTAACAAAAAAATTTCAAATTGTTTTAGTCGTCTTTGAGAAACTGTCGAAGAAGAGTTGAATTTTTGCTGACATCACAAAAGCGCTGCTCATTTTTTCAATCTTCGAAGAATTATTAAAATTGCCGCAGGTCTATAATATTTTAGTATGTTCTTTAAGTCCATAATCTCTATCAACAGTTTTATCAAGTTTCATCTAAAATTTTATTTCTTTTCAATTAGTTACGAAGAAACGACTCTCATGATCTTCGCTAAAAGCTAGTCAGCACTATTTCCAACCCATTTTTTTCGATCAGTTTCTGTATGTTTAAATTGATTCGGAATTTTTGGCTAAAACTTGGACAAAAAAAAATTGAACTTTTTTGCTAATTATAAAGGCAAGGCCTGACAGATCGTCGTATAAAACTAATAAGAAAAACTTATTAGTTTTACTTTTAAGAATCCATGCATGAGTGTATTTGTATATTTGTGAGCCAAAATTTGAACGGCTGCTCCGATTAAAAAAATTATAAGTCAAAATTATAAATAGCTCCGAAAAAAATAGTTTATGTGCTATCTTGTTATTTATTTTCTCTACAATAAATGTATAACATTAATTTATACATATATGAATAAAAAATGTGTTGTTAGCTGGGTAAAAGTGCATGAAAACTCATCTCGTATTGATAGGCAGTATGGTCAGTAAAAGATAAATTTAGTATGTTTGTAAATGCGTGTGGAACCCTCAGTGCACAAAGTAACTTTATGTTTAATTTTATTTTTTATTATATATATATATGTGATATATATATATATATATATATATATATATATATATACCAATATAAAGCTTAAAACTATATTAAATGTTTTGGAGAAGGAATCTGAACTTTTTACACAAATAAAAAGGTACAATATTTGCTAAAAGGTCGTGCACTCGATTTACTGTGTCTATTTGATCTTTTCGTCGAATCCGAAAAATACAAGAGGATGAAAAATATATACAGACTCAATATCCTTTAGTATATATATTTAGTTTAGTACACATGCACACATACACACACATATATATATATATATATATATATATATATATATATATATATATTAGGGCGGTCCTTAATATGGACATTTTCGAATTTCCTTGCTCCCAAGGGCTCAAAGAAATAGCATGGAAAAATTTTTAAAAACTAAAAAAACTTTAGGTATAACTTAGCGAATTAAAAGTGAAAATTTGTGTAATTTGTTATTGAAAATTCGACGCTCTGCAAAGCAGGTTTTTTATAATTTGTTTTGTAGAGCGTCGAATTTTAAATAAAACTCATTTATTTGTTCACTAAATTATATCTAAACAAACATTTTTAAAATTTTTGAAAATTTTTCCATACAAAACTTTGATTGAATTGCGCACTATTTAAAAGATAATATTAAGAGTTAAAACTATCAGAGAATTGTTTTTTAAAAATTTAAAACCGTTTGAGCCATTGGGAGCCTGGAAATTCGAAAATGTTTATATTAAGGACCACCCATATATATTTATTATATATATATATATATATATATATATACATCTATTCCCCGTTTTACACGGTAACTACGTCCAGAAAAAAAACGTGTAAATCGAAAAATTCACTTTTATATTGAAAAACCGTGCTAAACGAAAATCATTATGAGAAATCCATTTCTCTCAGTTTTAAATGTGATAAATAACAAATACATTGAATGAAAAATAAATATTAATATATTTAATATCGAACATATTTAATAAATTATAAGAAAATCAATTTATTTCAATAATAAAACAGAAATAAAAAACTATTTTGAATATTGAATTTTCTTATAATCAGATATATCAAATATAACCGTTCTTATACTTTATAGTTTTTTATTTTCATTTGTTGCTATTGTCGAACTATATTTTTTTTCTAAATTAAAGATTTTGTAGAAATTGTTTATGTTATTTAACGTTTGAAAATAATGACGTTCTTTGTTCTGATATTTCAGACAAACTAGCTTATACACATACAAAATTTAGTTTAGATCACAAAAGTTCCCATGTCATCTAAATATTTCTATCATAACATTTTGTATTGTTGAATTTTGATAGTAAAACAAATAAAATGTTATTGCAGATATAAACACATTATAGTTTAGTGTTTAAAATTTCGTGTAAATGCAAATTTAATAAATTTCGTTAAAAAAGATTATTTTCAAAAACCGTGTAAGATCGGAAACGTGTTAAACGAGTACCGTGTACAACGGGGGGATAGGTGTATATAATGTAATCATTCTGAAAAATATATATTTAAACACTTTTCATCGTTTCAGATGATAATTTTATTTGAATTTTCAAGATTTGTAAAAAGTATTAAAATTTTTAAACTTTTCAAAACATTTAAAAACGTTATAAAAATGTGTAACGTACCGATTATGAAATTGTGATATTGAACATAAGTATTATTTATTAAACTTATTAAAAAATCATTACAGTATATTTACAATCATCCGAAATGTATTATGTTATAAATCACTTCGAAATTCTAGTAAACATCAAAATTAGTATAGTTGTTTAGAACCATCTAAACACCTGTAGTTCATTTTAGTATAAAACTCGCATTGTTTTTATGCAGATTTCGATTTGTAATTGGCTAATTATTTTTATTCACCATATAATTGTATATAATACGTGTTTTGGTTATAGGTATAATATGCTAGATTATTTTACTTAAAATAAGAGATAAAAGATTGTACACCACTAGATCATTTAAATACAATATTTGGTGATCATTTAATGTTTGGTGTGGATATAACAAATAAAAGAAACCCCAAAATTGACTATTTTTATTTTCATAGCAGTAGTGACTGTAACAATATTTCATACAACAATAACATTTAATTATCTACGTTCTGTTAATATTTAGCTGTAAAGCCCACCATAATTAATATTAATAATGCTTTGCCATAAATGCCAACCGTATGTTCCAACTTACGTGCATTTTATTAAAGGAAGACAGTACGCATAAAATCATGTTAAAACAATAATATATGGTTTCGAACGCCATAAACATCCCTTATGGGCCCAATGTGCTATTTATAGTACCTACTATAATATTTTCTAATACCATAACGCTCAAATGAGAATGAAAACATCAGAACGCGATCATGCATGAATCTCACAAAATTCAATTATTGTAATTAAAATATAATATAGTCAAGTTTAGAATTAAACTAGTGGGGTGTATGGCATCGTGCCTTAAGGCAAATTGCTGGAACTTCCCGTACCGTAGCGAAATGTTCGAGGAATACTGAATGTTTTCAAATAGATTATTATAAATATTGTAACATTGTCTAATATTTTTAAGAATTATATAAATTGAATTGCAAAGTTGAAATTATTTGTTTAAAGTATAACTTTTAAGAACTTTAGTCAGAATTAAAAATCTGATTTATTTTTGATATAAAAAAAAATTTTTGACAAAAAAAA